TATTGTCTTCCAACTCATGATTGTGCAGTTTAAAAAAAAAATTAGAAAGCAGTATGGAGAATCATTGGAAAACTGGGAATGGAAACACCATTTAACCCAGCTGTCCCACTCTTCGGTCTATCCCCAAAGGACTTAAAAACAGCATACTACAGGGACATAGCCAATCAATGTTTATAGCAGCACAATTCACAATAGCTAAACTGTGGAACCAACATAGATGTCCTTCAGTAGATGAATGTATAAAGAAAATATGGCATATTTACCCAATGGAATATTATTCAGCATTAAAAGAGAATAAGATCATGGCGTTTACAGGTAAACGGATGGAGCTGGAGAATATAATGCTAAGTGAAATTAGCCAATCCCCAAAAGCCAAATGCCAAATTTCTCTGATTTAAGGATGCTGCTTCATAATATGCTGGGGGGGGGTTGGGGGGGGGGGGGGGAAAGGGGGGGGGAGATTAAATGAACTCTAGGTAGGGCAAAGGGGAAAAGGGGAGGAAGAGGACGGGAAGAGGTATAGGGGTAGGAAAGACAGTGGAATGCGATGGTCATCATTATCCTAAGACACGAAGGATGTCTCTTTGGGTACAACCAGAGATATGAAAAATTGTGCTCTATATGTGTAATATGAATTATAATGCATTCTGTTGTCATATATACCAAATTAAAATTTTTAAAAATTTATTTAATCTTTAGATTTTTGTGAAAAATGTTACATAGTTTTTATTTTTTAAAAAATATTTTTATTTTAGTTGTACACAATACATTTATTTTGTTTATTTATTTTTATGTGGTGTTGAGGTTCGAACCCAGGGCCTTGCTCATGCTAGGCGAGTGCTCTGCAACTGAGCCACAACCCCAGCCCCTTACATAGTTTTTAAAGTAAAAGTTTTGCATGTCTTTTGTTAAATTTACTGCTAAGTGTTTTATTCCTTTTGATGCTATTATGAGTGGGATTATTTTAATTCCATTTTGGATTTTTCACTACAGAAATATAATTGATTTTTGTATACTTATCTTGTATCCTTCAACCTTGCTGAATCCATTTGTTAATTCTAAGTTTTAGTGGATTCTTTAGGGTTTCCTATATATAAGATCATGTCATATGAAAGCAGAGATGGTTTCACTCTCTAAGCTGGATATCTTTTCAATTTGCCTAATTGCCCTGGCTAGAACCTGTACTACAATGTTGAATAGAAGTGACAACAGTAGACATATTGTCTCATTCCTGACCTTATGGGAAAGACATCCAGTGTTTCAACAATAAGTTTGATACTATCTGTGGATGAGAAAGTGCCAATTTAATATTAGTTAGTATTTTAATGAAAAGCATTTGGATTCTGTTAAATGCTTTTTCTGTATCTATGGAGATACAGATTTTTATTTCATTGATATAGCATATTGATTTTTAGATATTAACCCAGCCTTACACTCTTGGGATAAATTCCACCTGGATAGGGTACATAGTTTTCTTTATATGTTCAATATTTGTTTTGCCAGTATTTTACTAAAGATTTTTACATACACATTTAACATTTTTCATTTTTAATGAATTTTTAAAAAATTTTCTTGACTAGATGTTTCTTTCTTTTATTTTTGGTACCAGGGATTGAATTCTGGAGCCACATCCCCAGCCCTATTTTTTGTATTTTATTTTATTTATTTATTTATTTTTTCCTTTTTATATTCTTTTTTATTTTTTATTGTGGGTTGTTCAAAACATTACAAATTTCTTGACATATCATATTCCACACTTTGATTCAAGTGGGTTATGAACTCCCACCTTCACCCCATACACAGATTGCAGAATCACATCAGTTACACATCCTTTGATTTACATATTGCCATACTAGTGTCTGTTGTGCTCCGCTGCCTTTCCCATCCTCCCCCCTCCCCCCTCCCCACCTCTCCCCTCCCCTCCCCTCCTCTCTCTCTACCCCCTCCACTGTATAACCCTGAGGGTCTCCTTCCATTACCATGCAATTTCCCTTCTCTCTCCCTTTCCTTCCCACCTCTCATCCCTGTTAAATGTTAATCTTCTTCTCCTGCTCTTCGTCCCTACTCTGATCTTAGTTACTCTCCTTATATCAAAGAAGACATTTGGCATTTGTTTTTTAGGGATTGGCTAGCTTCACTTAGCATAATCTGCTCTAATGCCATCCATTTCCCTGTAAATTCTATGATTTTGTCATTTTTTAATGCAGAGTAATACTCCATTGTGTATAAATGCCACATTTTTTTTATCCATTCGTCCATTGAAGGGCATCTAGGTTGGTTCCACAGTCTTGCTATTGTGAACTGTGCTGCTATGAACATCGATGTAGCAGTGTCCCTGTAGCATGCTCTTTTTAGGTCTTTAGGGAATAGACCGAGAAGGGGAATAGCTGGGTCAAATGGTGGCTCCATTCCCAGCTTTCCAAGAAATCTCCATACTGCTTTCCAAATTGGCTGCACCAATCTGCAGTCCCACCAGCAATGTACAAGTGTACCCTTTTCCCCACATCCTCGCCAGCACTTGTTGTTGTTTGACTTCATAATGGCTGCCAATCTTACTGGAGTGAGATGCTATCTTAGGGTGGTTTTGATTTGCATTTCTCTGACAGCTAGAGATGTTGAGCATTTTTTCATGTACTTGTTGATTGACTGTATGTCCTCCTCTGAGAAGTGTCTGTTCAGGTCCTTGGCCCATTTGTTGATTGGGTTGTTTGTTCTCTTATTGTCTAATTTTTTGAGTTCTTTGTATACTCTGGATATTAGGGCTCTATCTGAAGTGTGAGGAGTAAAGATTTGTTCCCAGGGTGTAGGCTCCCTATTTACCTCTCTTATTGTTTCTTTTGCTGAGAAAAAACTTTTTAGTTTGAGTAAGTCCCATTTGTTGATTCTAGTTATTAACTTTTGTGCTATGGGTGTCCTATTGAGGAATTTGGAGCCCGACCCCACCGACTGTAGATCGTAGCCAACTTTCTCTTCTATCAGACGGCGCGTCTCTGATTTGATATCAAGCTCCTTGATCCATTTTGAATTAACTTTTGTGCATGGCGAGAGAAAGGGATTCAGTTTCATTTTGTTGCATATGGATTTCCAGTTTTCCCAGCACCATTTGTTGAAGATGCTATCCTTCCTCCATTGCATGCTTTTAGCCCCTTTATCAAATATAAGATAGTTGTAGTTTTGTGGATTGGTTTCTGTGTCCTCTATTCTGTACCATTGGTCCACCCGCCTGTTTTGGTACCAGTACCATGCTGTTTTTGTTACTATTGCTCTGTAGTATAGTTTGAAGTCTGGTATCGCTATACCGCCTGATTCACACTTCCTGCTTAGCATTGTTTTTGCTATTCTGGGTCTTTTATTTTTCCATATGAATTTCATGATTGCTTTCTCTATTTCTACAAGAAATGCCGTTGGGATTTTGATTGGCATTGCATTAAACCTATAGAGAACTTTTGGTAATATCGCCATTTTGATGATGTTAGTTCTGCCTATCCATGAACAGGGTATATTTTTCCATCTTCTAAGATCTTCTTCTATTTCTCTCTTTAGGGTTCTGTAGTTTTCATTGTATAAGTCTTTCACCTCTTTTGTTAGGTTGATTCCCAAGTATTTTATTTTTTTTGAAGATATTTTGAATGGAGTGGTTGTCCTCATTTCCATTTCAGAGGATTTGTCCCTGATATACAGGAATGCCTTTGATTTATGCGTGTTGATTTTATATCCTGCCACTTTGCTGAATTCATTTATTAGCTCTAATAGTTTCTTTGTAGAGCCTTTTGGGTCTGCTAGGTATAGAATCATATCATCTGCAAATAGTGATAATTTAAGTTCTTCTTTTCCTATTTTTATGCCTTTAATTTCTTTCGTCTGTCTAATTGCTCTGGCCAGTGTTTCGAGAACTATGTTGAACAGAAGTGGAGAGAGAGGGCATCCCTGTCTTGTTCCAGATTTTAGAGGGAATGCCTTCAGTTTTTCTCCATTCAGAGACAGCGTCTCATCGAGTTGCTTAGTGCCTCACATTTGCTGAAGCTGGCTTTAAATTCATGATCTTCCTGCCTCAGCTTCCTGAACTACTGGAATTACAGGTGTGTACCATTGTGCCCAATTAGATGTTTCTTCATTGCCATTTGCTCTTAGGAATACCAAAGGTTTCAATATCGGGGGTTGTGGAGTGGGGAGGTGGCAGTACTGGGGATTGAACCCAGGTGCGCTTAATCACTGAGACACATCCTCAGCCCTTTTAAAATATTTTATTTACAGACAGGGTTCTCAATGAGTTTCTTAAGGCCTTGCTAAGTTGCTGAGGCTTGTTTTGAACTAGAAATCCTCCTGCCTCAGCTTTCTGAGCCACTGGGATTACAGGCATGTGCCATTATGCCCAGCGAGACATTTGCTTTTTAAAAAATTTTAAATTTTTTTGTAGTTGTAGATGGATACCATGCTTTTATTTTATTTTTATGTAGTGCTAAGGATTGAACCCAGTGTCTCACACATGTTAGGCAGGCATTCTGCTACTGAGCCCCAGCCCCGAAACATTTACTTTTAAATTAAATAGGATTATTTGACAATTCTATAGTAATACAATGCAATAATTTTATGAGTGTAAGTAACCAGGCAATATAGTCAAAAGTATAAAAAATTTAGAAGATAGAATTTTATCTTTTCGACAGTAATATTTTACAATTAATAAGAACCAATTTCACTTAAAACAATTTTCAATGCTATAATGCAACAAATATTAGTCTCTATAATTAATTATTTTTTGTGCCAGGGATTGAACCCTGGGGTGCTTAACCACTAAGCCACATTCCCAGCCCCACCCCCTTTAAAATTCTGAGACAGGGTCTTGCTAAGTTGCTTAGGGCCTTGCTAGGTTGCTGAGGCTGGCCTTGAACTTGGGATCCTCCTGAGTCACTGGGATTACAGGCATGCGCCACAGTGTCAGGTCTAAGATAATTTTTTTTAGAGCTTTAAATTAAAAAAAATAAAATAAAAACACTTATCTGTTCAGTAGGGAAGAAACAATTCTGTTTATTAACCTCATTGCATATTCAGAAAGGATTAAAAAACACACATATTTCCTGGACAAAAACTGTACCAAAAGTTTTCCTTACAAAATAACCTCTCAGACCAATCGTTTGGATTTACACAAAGACATATATACTGACACACATTAACTTGAACTAATACACAATTTAAATGTTTTTGCAATAACCTTCTACCAAACTCTTATTGCATTAATGTCAGAGAGTATGTTTTCTTTAACATCTTAAAAATAGTAATAAAAAGTTACAAAATAATGTAAGTGTAGAATTAAGGCTGAGACTATATAATCTAGTATTAATAAAGCCGAATAATACTTATAAAAAAGATGCTGCTGCACATTTTATTTATATACAGAATAAGCCTTTGAAATCTGAAAAGCAACCTGTCACATATTCACTCATCAATTTAACGTTATTCTGTGTATCTTAACATTTGAATTCCAAGATACCTGTGCTTTTTTTTAATCCTGAATTCTTCATCAAGTTTCCTCACATATTTACAATTAAATATCTAGTCTCCAGAACCTTCCTTACATAAAGGCCAAAACGCTTCTGTTAAATAAATTCACACAAAAGTAATAAAAAGGCTGTTTTCAAGAAATAGTTCTAACATATTCATGATAATTATACTGAAAAATAGTACATATACTTTTCGTCAGGATTAACAGATGCCACGTGCCAGTTTTCCAGTCATTGACATATGAGCATACGTTCTTCTGACACATTTGCAAGATAATGACAACCAAAGGGCATGGTGACTGGAATAATTCCAGTAAATCCATACTGTCCACTGAGATTCATAAAATTGAATGGTTGCTTTTAGTCATCTGGATACACATGAAAATTCATGCCTAGATACTTGTACTGTCCCCAGAAATATTCAGTTTGTTAAGTCACCTTTTGTTCTTCTGAGAGAGATGCAGAGGCAGAGTATTCTTAGTAAGACCAGTGGCCCCTTCACCTTTTATACATCTGATTTAGTTGGAATCCTGGTGGAAGTAGGAAAAGAAAAAAACATAGTAAGTTTTATGTACCAAAAATTTTCTTTCCTAAATTCACTCATCAATAATTGTTTACTTCACATGTATGCCCCCCCCCCAAAAGAGTCTGAAAGGCTAAGTAGTTATTAGATGGACACAAATACATGTATGTCTATAATGCATGTAAGTAATTTGAAACAGTTCTTTGAAATGGTAGCATCTTGGATCCAAATTCTGCAGATACTAACCTGTCTTGTGCTTTCCCTAAACAAAATTATGATTTTAAGAATTAACAGGAATTCTAATGCTTATTGTAGAAGTCACAAAATAAAGACAAGCAAAAGAAAAAACATTTTAAAATACCTATAATCTCATTAATGTAGAGATGAACACACCAATATCTTGGTAAACATCAATACTGATGTATTTTTATTCATATACATCTAAATGTTTTCTTTTCTAATGATATCCCCTGAAAATGCCACCCACGAACAGAAGATACACTTTTTTTAAAAAAAATATTTATTTTTCAGTTGGACACAATATCTTTATTTATTTATTTTTATGTGATGCTGAGGATTGAACCCAGGGCCTTGTATGTGCTAGGCAAGCGCTCTACCGCTGAGCCACAACCCCAGCCCCCCCGACACTTTTTTTTTTTTAAATATTGGGGATTAAAACCTAGGGGGGTACCCTACCACTGAACTATATCTCCAGCATTTTTTATTTTTTGAGACACAGTCTTGCTAAGTTACTGAAGTTCATATTAAGTAGCTGAGATTATAAAACATTTTTGATAGTGCTAACTTAAAATCTTTTCAGTAGAAAATGCATTATAAAACTGTGTCTATTTAAGAAAACAAGATGGTCTACTGAATATCATGTGCTAAACATGGTTAATACTTGCTTTTTTTAAAAATTGAATATTCCTGAAATCCAGATGCAATTTATGAGTTAATTTGAAGTTTTTCTTAATAGTTCATGAAATGATGGTATTTCTTATAATTAATGACATCTCAGAGTTGATAAAACATGGTATATTTCCTCTATTAAGAGATAATACATACACATACATAATATAAATATATACAGAAACAAATACTTTTTTCTGTTTCTACTATTAAAATTTGTTCCTGATTTTGGTATTTCAATACTGTTAAAAGACATTTTAATTTTAGACACTCTGACACTTAGAAAGTGTAAGAATTGTCAGTTCAAAACTTATAGAAATAGAGACTGGGAATGAGAAAATTACCTCCACAAGAGGCTTTATTAGAATTTATGCTGCAGCATAAATGGAAGTAATACAGGGACTGATCTTGGTAACTGTAATTTTTTAGAAGACTAGTCTCTTTACTGAATTATATTCCAGGGTTTGTTTTGCTACTTATTTTCTCTCTCATGTTGCTGACTCCCCTCATATGTATGATTTTTGATTATACAATTACATTTAAGAAAGAGGATTATACTGTTGACTTAGATTTCTTCTGCTGTTAGAGAAACAGAACTATTTTCCCATCAAGTGAGTGAGAATTATAACTGAGACAGAATAGAACAGGGTCATTGAAGCCAAAGGTTTTGCTTTCATTGTGGGTGGACAGCCAAGTACAGGTCACTGGCTCCTAGAGGCTGACATCAGACAGGGCTGTAGGGTGCCAGCAACTGTACCAGAAGCCAATATACCAACATTTAATTGACCAATTACCACTGCTATCTAAATATGTGGTATCAGCTTTTTATCTGGAGACAAGATAACATTAAGTTTGGGCTGAAAATATGGCATATTTTAGCTGTGGTTTTCTTTCCTTTTCCCATTCTGCTCCCATCCTTTTATCTCACATTGCTCCTTTTTAGGGCTGGGCTTTTCACTCTTTGTTATACTTCCTGAGTTGGGAGTCCAAAGTCTCCATCATGCAGACTGTCTCTCATTATTTCTAGTCTACTTCCCAATCCTTCTGTGTCTAGTATAGTCTACCCCTTATTTCTGTTCCCTATTTCCAGAAACCTTTAACTGATATTCAGTTAAAGGCAAAATGACATTTTCAGACAAAATATGGCTCCAATTTCTTTCTTATTTTTTAAAAAAATATTTTCTTAGTTGTAGATGGACACAATATTTATTTTTATGTGGTGCAGAGGGATTGAACCCAGTGCCTCACAAATGGGAGGCAAGCACTCTACCACTGAGCCACAACCCCAGCCCAATTTCTTTTTTTAATTGATGTTTTTAATGTTTGACAACGAAATATATTACAATTCTTATTACACATATAGAGCACATTTTTTTTATATATCTCTGGTTGTATATAAAGTATATTCACATCAATTTGTGTCTTCATACATGTACTTTGGATAATAATGTTCATCATATTCCACCACCATTTCTAACCCTCTGCCCCCTCCCTTCCCTTCCCACCCCTCTGCCCTATCTAGATTTCATCTATTTCTCCCATGCTCCCTGTCCCTGCTCCACTATGAGTCAGCCTCCTTATATCAGAGAAAACATTCAGCATTTGGTTTTTTGGGATTGGCTAACTTCACTTAGCATTATCTTCCTCCAGTGCCATTCATTTACCTGCAAATGCCATGATTTTATTCTTTTATTCCAGCCCACTTTCTTTTGGTACACTTTTTCTACAAAAGTTACCAGAGAGAAAAACATGGTATCCAAGAAACAGTGATTCAACTTAAGAGAGTAGCCAAGGAAGCCTGAGGAAAGCAGAGCTGCAGGAAGTTTATACAGCAACTATCACTAATGCAGGAGGAAGAGGATCTGATCAAGATACGTGGCAAGTAAAAAAAAAAAAAAAAAAAAAAAAAAAAAAAAAAAAAGGTGGGTGGGGGGGGCAATTAGAAACTTCAGAAAAATTAACATACAAGAAATAGTCCAATAACAGGAATACAATTTAATATGACTTTAAGAATGATAGGAGTACAGAAGTTTTATGTGAGCCTGATGTTTGTAACACTGAATAGTGGTCTAAGCAGGAGTTATAACATTAGAACCAAATATAGAACTTTGTGAGGTAGCCAGAAATAAGATACCCTTGTTTAATCCCTGGTACCAGAAAAAACAAAACAAAAATATACAGAATGTAATACTCATACACAACTTTGCCTAGTACTACAAAATATTTACATAGATATCATAATGTAATAAGTTATTTGAAGGTTTCTACTCTTGAAAAAAACATGGAGGACTTGGGTGTGGTTGCAAGATAGAATATAATTAAATAATCATGATAACATTAAATGCTCAAATAATTTAGAACTCAGTTCAAAAGTCAATAGGTGAGCAAGGCAAGACAGACTTCCACCCCCAAAGGGACAGGTGAGCTATACCCTCTAAAATTTAATACAATAAGACAGACAGAAGTACAATCAGAAGTAGGAGAAGTTATACTCCATTTATATATGTTGTATCAGAATGTATCTACCTGCATATATAACTAATTAAAACTAATTAAAAAGAGAATGACTAAAAATTAATAGTTAAAACAAAGGTTGTCTCTGGGAAATGGAATAGGTGTGAGGATACATAGGACGAGTTATTTTATTATCATAAGCTCTGTCTATACCTTTTGTCCAAAACAGGAGCCACTAGCCATGTGTGGTTCCAGAGCACCTGCAATATAGTTAGTCCTAATTGAGATTTGCTATCTTCTGAATTTTGAAGACTTTGTATGAAAAACAAACAGGTAAAATAGCTCTTTAATCATTTCTTATATTGTTTAAATGTTGAAATAATATTTTGGATACTGGATTCAACAAAAGCTATTATTAAAGTTAATCTCACTGTTTCTTTTTTACTTTTCAATATGACTCCTAGAGAATTTTAGATTACCCTGTGTGGCTCACCTTACTTTGGCGTCTCCTCCCTACTCCCCTCACCCAGGGCTGAGGACTAAACCTAGGATGTTTCATGTGCTAGGCAAGTACTCTGCCACTGAACTAAATTCCCAACACTATGTGCTCACATTATATAATACTATAAATCTATACCCCTATTCAGCTTCTATACATGTATGACTTTAATGAAAATGATACAACTATTAACGATGATAAATTAAAAAAATAAACTTTAACCCAGTCAACCTCCAAATTGCTATAAAATCTTAACAAGTTTCAAATCAATGTCTGTAGTAACTGAGAGGTCTAGGCAAACTCAGTACTGAGATTGGCACATATTCAGAACTATCTATTTACTCTATTATCCTTAGTCTAGAAATGGTCCTATGGAATTTCTTCACTGGGAAGAAGGTTCTGTTCTCTTAAAAACCCGGAAAAATGCTCCCCACTACCTGGGGGTGGCGGGGAGAAACTCCTTAAAAAATTATGTCAATGGGGGGTGTAGATCAATGGTAGAGTGCTTACCATGCTAGGTCCTGGGTCCACTTCATAGAAGTGCCAAAAAACAACAAAATAAAACAAAACCCAAACAAAACAAATGAACAAAAACACCTGGGTAACATCTTTGGGCTGGGGATGTAGTTCAGTTGCAGAGTGCTTGCCTAGCATTGTATGAAGCTATGGATCTGATCACCAGCAAGGATGTATATACACACACAGAGAAATCTACATAAAGGCAGAGGGAATAATATAGTGATATAATAATATAATATCCTGTTTTTGAGCTTTAGTAATTATAATATTTTGCCAAAATTTTAAATATCCTTTGCCTGTTTTCTAAAATATATATTTAAAAATATACTCAGACAACACAAATACCTTAGTATGCATTTCTAACTATACATTTATTTTTATGTAAATATTATACTATTATCCATAAAATGTACAATTTAACATATAAAAGTATATTAAATACTTAATATTAAAACAAATATGATTATACAATAATATTTATATGTAACATGAATATATCTAATAGCTAGGTAATATTCAAGTTTCTCCAATTATTTTAACATTGTTGTTTTATTTATATAATTTTGTGATTCTGGGGACTGAACTCAGGACCTACACACATGCTAGGCAAATGCTCTACCACTGAACTACATCCCCAGTTCTTTTTCTTTTGAGACAGAGTCTCACTAAATTGTGGAGCCTGGCCTCAAAATTGAGATCCTTCTGTCTCAACCTCCTGAGTAGCTGCTGTCTGGTTCAACTCTGTTATTTTAAAGCTGGTTTATTCAAATCCAAATATAAACCAAGGTCTGTACATTGCATGCAATTGTTAAGTCTTTTAAATCACTTTTATTGATTCTCATTCCTTCCTTCTTTATATCATTTATTAGCAAAACAAAAGCAGACATTTGTTCTATAATGTTCTGCATTTGGCTGACTGCTTCCTTGTGATATCTTTTAATTTGGCTCCAAAATTCTACATATTTTCTGGTAGAATGGTAGTTAATAGTAAATGGTGAGCCCTTCTCAAATATGTGAATCAGGGTCTAATGCCTTAAGTCATTTATTGTATATAATAAAGTAATCTTCTTCTTATGTACCCAGAATGGTAGCAGTACACTGAGAAGAATCACTCAAATAATTTTCTGCTGTGTTAAATTCTTCCATGGAACTCTAGTTGAGAAAGTCTAAGTAGAAGTGTCATTAGATTCAGGTTACTTCCTCTGAGGCACATACAATAGCAAATGTCCTATGACTTTTAGAGTTACTAAGATTGATAATTGAGATCAGGTGTGCCAATTTGATCTTTCCATATTCAGTTTCCTATCCAATTTTTACTTAATTGTTGAGTACTCTGCTGATTATCATTACCTAGATTCTTTATTAGCAGCAGCAAAGTCATGATGTTTTCATTTTACCATACTTCCTATACTTTGTTCTTACATAAGAACTTTTTCTATAAAGAACTTTTTAAAAAAGAATGTTCTCCAGCTTTTCGTTAACCTAAAAGTTCATATAAGAAAGACAGAACACATCTTTTCTTTATGAATACATCAATTTTTGTAGTAAAGAGTTGGTATCCAAGCAATGCCTATGATGATCAATGACTTTACCTTTTTAAACACCATAATTTTTTGCAACATGATGGGGAAGTGTGTTTCATAATCTGACCTCTGCTGATATGTTCAACCTCATTTGTCCCTATCTCTCCCTCTCACCTACCATGCTTGCTATCTACCGGCTCACACCTTCCAAGCCTACTTTTTCTCCAACTGACAGCAATTTCTATATGGCCGACTCCCTCCCATCCTTCTTCAGTTCTCTGCTTCAATGAATTTTTCCTGACAACTGATACTGTTTTCCCACTACTTTGTGTCATATTATCATTTCCTCTTTCCTTACACGTAGAAAAAAAATAAAATTATCCCTCTTCTACACAGAATTAGAGAACATGATGAAGAAGCAAGAACCATGTGACTTTTATTCACCCAGGAATATACAACACAAAGTGAGCATTCAAATATTTACTGAATATGCAGGTGAACAGGACATGGAATACCAATTATAAAGTTGCCAATATCAAGGGAACTCCTTTATGGTTATGAGAAAGTTACTCAAATACAGTCTATACTTATACCTTTGAAAAATCCCCTATATACCATGATGCCCTTCTGTGGGTTGCCCTTACTGATATCTAAATCTAAAAAGGAAAGGGTTAGGCTGCAAATAGCTTGTTAGTTTTTTGGTAGCCATCTAAATAGTATCTGATTCTTCAAATCGAACATTATAAGCAATTTTAAATAATGTACAAATTTAAAAAACAGAACAGAAGCCTATATGAAATGTGGGGGAAAAATAAATAATTTTGCATGTCCTATATTTAGGTATGATGATCCTATGAAGCAGAATGCAGGGCATTTGAAACTTAACCCAAACAACAAAAAAAGCAATTTCACTCTTAATGAATTTTAGTAAAACATAAACAACTAACATTTCCAAATAGTAAAAATCATTAAGAAAACTGAATATCCTAGGAAAACAAAATAATTTTCTTATCTTCATTATCATTGCTTAGAGTTTTTTTTTTTTTTAATTCTAATTGTAGCTCAAGGAATAAATAAGAAATAAACTTATAGTGTTATCATGATCCAGGAGCTTTGATAAACTAACCAATGATAATTTTCAGGTTATAACGTGCTCACCTATTTTGTCTTGTAGTTTCTCTTCTCATTCTTTTAGGAGGAATTGGACAATCTGTCATCTCAACTTTTGTTGAATGACGCAATGAATCATTACACTTACGTGTGGGAGTCATACCTATAAAGATACAAAATGCAGAACAAACTGAAATAGTATATGAAAGAAAAAAATATAAACATATCTTAACTTATAAGATAATAAGATAAAATACTGAGAATGTCTCTTACTAGTCCTGCTAAGAGAATAGTTTAAACCATTCTGAGATGACTTGGAGATTAAGAGTTTCCTGTCAATTTAAATTCTGGATCATTTGCATTCTTTCTTTTTATAGCTGGACTCTCTATCAACATAAATACTTATCTCTACACAGAAAAAGTAGAAGTTAACAAGAAATAAATATATACCAAGTTTCTGCTCTATTAGTTTCAGACTCTTTTCTTGTTCATCTAGTTCTTGCTTTTTCTTCTTCATATCAGGAGTATGAAGGTATTCTAACTGACCATTAAGGTCCTCATTCACACTGCCTAGCTTGCACACAGCAGAACGATACTGTTGAAGAAGATCTGCAAAGAAACCAACCAGACTTTTGGTTAAATTACTAATATCACACCATTTTAGGGAAAAAATTAGCAACATTAGGCATTATGTTATAGTAAGACATGGAAACTACTTTTAAAGTCATAACACATTCAATGTAAAGCAATGAAATAAGCAAGCATAGTTAAGACCACAACAAACGACCACTAAATTTGAATATTCTCTGATTGCTTGACTTAGTCTGTGTCAGGAAAAGTTCTCCATATAGAAGTGCTTGGTTAACTGGATTACTCTCTCAAGGCTTACGTCCTCTCTGATTCAATTTTACAGAGATGAAGGGAGGGGGTGAAAGGGAGGCACTATAAAAGGAACTAAACATTGTACTGTTAGAAAACCACTGCTTCTCAAATGAAAACTGACTAGAAAGTTTTTAATAAAACCATTTGTAATTATAAGCGTGACACTGAGAATGCTATGACAAGTCATGGAGTGAATATGGCAGTGCTGCAACTTATGAAACATTGTACACTGGAAGGAAGGAGGGAAAAAAGGAAAGAATCAAAAACAGTGATTATAGAATTCTTTAAAAAAATAGTAGGGTAAATATTTAATTTTAATAAAACTTAACTTTCCTTAATTTGTCTAAAAATGCATTACATTTGCTTTCATAGTATAGTCTGTTTACACGATTTACTAGACAACAAACATTAAATACAGTGACTAGTTTGTTAGTAAACTATTTTGTAAGTAAACTATTCTCCACAGGCCAAAATAGAAATACATTCACAATGTTCTTAATACTGTGACTCACAAAGCCTAAAATATTTACTATCTGGCCCTTTTAAACTCTTAAATGTCACAAAAAAACAATCAATATTTGTGGGAATGAAGAAACACTTAAATATTTCACAAATATATATAGTAGTTTACATACAAAACCGTCCAAGATAATTATTACAAGAACAGAGTATATCAAGTATAAAAAGATGTAGTACACTTAAAGTGTCAAGAATGGTTTAAGCAAGTATCCAACATGCTGGGAATCTACACTTAGAATGAGTGAACAAATATACTTGCATATGTATCTGTGTGCTTGTGTCCCTTTATCAGAGATGCATAGAACCATAAACATTTCAGATTTTAGAGTTTTTCAGATTTGGGAATACTTGCTTAGACTTCATAGGTTGGTCATCCCTAATCTGAAGATCCGTGGACTACAGATACTCAAGCTGTACATTAAATTATAAGATTTTTATTCTTTCTTTCACTTTTTCTTTTTTTTTAGATGGGGTGTCATCATGTTTTTCAGATATTTCAATTATCTGGGGGAAAAAACCTGATTAAAGCTTTACTGAGATATGAAGAACAAAACAAATTTTTTACAGAAGGGCAGGGGTGATACTGAGGATTGAACTGAGGAGTGCTTTACCAAAGAGCTACATCCCCAGCCATTTTAATTGTTTTTTATTTAGAGACAGGATTTCACTAAGTTGCCCAGGCTGGTTTCCCAAGGCACTGGGATTATAGGTGTGTGCTACCATGCCCAGTGGCAAGATAGTTTTTCAAACAGATTATTTCAATGTGAAAATAATAGAAAAGAATTGAAAGGTTAAAAAAATATAAAAAGATTAAAAATATATCTTAAGGGCTCTTACTGGGCAAGTATTTAATAAGAACCCAACTGTCTAAGCATGAGTTGCTTTGGAAGACAGAAGCAATTAGAGGGGTAGGTAGATTTTCTTAATAGTTCAATTTGCACTTTGTGCTCTACACGATTTTAAGATGTTTATTGGCAAAAAACTCATAAGCACTATAACTATAGAAAAATGTCATGAAAAATTTATACCAGCTTCTGTTTCAATTTGCTTCAAAATAAGCAGAAGGAAGAGATAGAAGAGTAAATAAGTTGTTAAAAGGTGGAAATAAATGAAACAAGCCTGGCTATATTTTAATAATTCAAAGCTAGTGATAGGTCCCTGGGAGATAATTACACTGTTCTATTGTCTTATAAAATAAAATCCCCTTCCCTGAAAGCTGTAGCACTTAATAATCTTGGTCACTATTTATAAAAATATTAAGAATATTAAAATTAAAATATTAAGAACAAACTGGTCAACAGGGCAAGACATATTTCAAGTAAATAAATAAAATTTATTAAGAATAGCTTTATAAGGAAGGGCAGCAGAATAGACAATTTGATTGATGTATGTACATTCCATGTATGTATTATATGTCAAAACGCATTCTACTGTCATGTATGACTAAAAAATAAATAAATAAAAATTAAAAAAAAGAATAGCTTTATAAAAAACAATAAATGGGAGTGTAATAATTGGGAGCTCAACCTTTAAATAAATTAAGAAAGATATAATAAAGTGTAAATATAAATAATGTCTAATCTGATCAGATATGTACTTTGGAATACATGAACATAATAAAAAGAGTAATAGTTTTGATGTCATAATTATAAACTACATATTAATTTCTCTAATTGCTATTAATAATTCTCCCTTTTCTCTTTTTGTACTGGGGATTAAACTCAGAGGTGATTTACCACTGAACTACATCCCTAGTTTTGTTTATTTTCTGAGTATCTCACTAACTTGCTCAGGGTCTTGCTCAGTTGCTGAGGCAGGCCTTGAACTTAGGATCCTCCTGCCTCAGCCTTCTGAGTACAGAGATTTATAAGCGTGCCCTACCCAGCTCTGTCTTCCCTTCTTTTAAAAATCCACATCCTGGCTTCCTTAGTCATTTTCTTTGCATTTTAAAAGTATTCCTACTCACAAGAATGGTATGGAAAACTTGGAATAATACAGGAAAGAAGAAAGGTTTTTTACTAGATAAAAATTTTTTATTAGATAGGTTTGGAGGTTCAAAAAAAATTTTGCGGGGGTAGTACTTGGGATTGAAATTAGGACTTCACATACGTTAAGCAAGTGCTCAATTACTGAGTTACACCCCAGCCCTTTTAATTTTGAGACAGGGTCTTACTTTGTGGCCAAGGCTGTCCTGGAACTTTAGAACTTCCTAAGTCAGCCTCCTGAGTACCTGGGATTACAGACATGCACCATAGCACTCAGCTTGGAGGTTCATTTTAACACATAATTTTTATGTTTTCTATTCCGTTTCTATTTAACTTTATCAGAGATAGTCACAAGATTAAAAAATTCAATTAAAGCACTTTAGATTTCTAATGTTTTGCAGAAATTTACATTTAAAGTTCACTTCTAAAATACCTATAGGATGAAGTTAACTTTCTGAACACATCCTTAGGTTAATAGTCTACATATATTTTCTGCTATTTCCTACAATTTAGTTCATTTCATTTGTAGATTCTACATATATTATAGAAATTATATAAACATTTAGTCATTTTTTCAAGTCTTATGCTTTGATTTCATTTGCTCTTAAACCAAATACTATAATGTAAGACAATGTATACCTTAGATTACAAACACTCAGTTTTAACTGTTAGTAGTTGACAGTTTTTTAAAAAGTATTTTTTAGTTGTAGGTAGATACAATACCTTATTTTATTTTTATGCTGTGATGCTGAGGATCCAACCCAGTGCCTCATGTGTGCTAGGTGAGCATTCTACAACTGAGCCACAACCCTAGCCCCAGTAGTTGACAATTTTTGTGGTGGTCTGGATTAAAATTGTTTTTGTTCCAAGAACAATTAATAATACACAGAAGGGAGGTTCCCAAAGCTGTTTGTTCACTTTGATCTTTACTAAGGCTAGTTGACTCAGGAGGGAATTTTTGTCCTTGGAGTGGTGGAACCTGAGCTGTTACAAAAAATGGCACTCCAAGATGAAGGTGAGGGAACTCAAGGCTGCTAACTCTCTTAAAGTCATTTTTGGTTTTGTCTTGGCTGTTTCCAATTTCCTGTATCTGTGATTTATTCCAGTCTCCTTCTAATACATTCTTATTTAGCTTAAAGTAGTCAGGAATAGCTGCTCTTGCTTACAACCAAAAGAACTTTATACACAAGAGTATCTCTGTAAACTGTCTCATCTGATTTGAATTTTTGTTGTTTAATCATCAGTCTGAAAATGTATCTTTTAAGATATATCAAGAAGAATAAATGTTAAAAACTTGAAATCCTTGTGTTATTAATTTTACATATATGGAAAGTCAGAAAGGCACAGAAATCTTTAATAATTAGAATAGTTTTTTTCCTCAAAGACATACAGATATTGCCTGTTATATATTGACATTGAGATGCATAGGTTAACTCTTGCAACTTCTATAAATGTGGCAAAATAAATATGTATTTTTAAAAATATATTTTAGTTGCAGATGGACACAATATTTTATTTATATTTTTGTGGTTCTGAGGATCAAACCCAATGCCTCACACATGCAAGGCAAGCACTCTGCCATTGAGCTACAACCCCAGCCCTAAATATGTTTTTTGTTAAAGTTACACTGTTTTCTTTTTGGTTTTGGAGAAGAAGCCTCCTGTTGCTGGTGGAAGTTAGCATTAGCACACTTGGCTGCGGGCTAACACCACTAGAGACCCGCTATCCCACAGCTTCCCTCTCAACTGCAGTTGTGTTGCTCTGGGATTCAGTCAGGCAGTGAGGGGCCTGCAGGATGTGTTGGAGACATGGCTGAGATTGGAGTTGGGGGCTATACTACCTGTGATGCCAATATCAGCAGAAGCCATTGGTATCTCCCCTGTGGCTGCCACTGCCTTGGTACTGGGTCCGGCTGTCATCATGACTGGTAGCTGCTCCAGAGGCCCCAATCAAGCCACCATCCCTTTTGCAGCTGCCACTGTCCTGATTGCCGCAAAGACTTCCACTTCAGCCATGGCTGCATTAGACACCCAGTGGCTACTCTAGAAGACTTTGCTTTGGCTATAGCTACTCCAGATGACTGCCCCCCCCCACCCCCCAGCTGCTATGGATGGCTCCATCAACCTTGAAGCCACTCTGTATATCACCACCCATGATAGCCAGAGGTAATGTGGGTTCAGCATTCTTGTGCAGAGTGGCTTTAAACTGCAAAAAGTCTGTAGTCAGCAGACAGAAGACTGCGTATGTGGGCCCTGCCTCTGTCTATAAGTCCTCTAGGGTCCAGTCCAGAAACCTCTGTCCCATATACTGCTCTCCATTATGCTGAAGTATAAACCACAATAAAGTTCTTTTAGATGGTTTTATTTTTCATATTCATGATTTATATCTCAAATTGAGCAGGCCGAACTGGTGGCTCTAACAGCTCATAACATTATCTCTAAGAATGGCTAGAAGTCAGTGAACTATTGAGAGCTGCTCAGAGTTAGCAGTCTTAGCTAAGAGCTGTTAGGAGACAGCTAACAATGAGGCAGGAGAAAGAACAGGAATAGGCAGACAGAAAACTTGGGCCCCTTCAAGGTTAGGTTTCTGTCTAAAAGGGCTCAGAGACCACAGATGCAAGCTAGGCCCCATGATGGTCAGGCCAATTTCTGTTTAAGGAGAAAAACTAACAGTGAGACACCTATTGCCTAGTGCCCAGACCCCCTCCAAAAAGGCACAGTAACCTGATTGGACCAAAGGGCATGTAAAGAGCTCATATGGACAATGAATGCCTTACCCAGGATTGGGTTGGGAGCTAACTTCCTTACCCTATAGATTCATATAAACCCCTAGACAATAGTCACTCATTGGCAACCCTCTCTTGGGATCCCTCTCCTTTGGGAGCTCTGCTTCCTTTCTTTTTACTTTAATAACTCCTGTTACTTTGCTCTCACCCTTTCTATTTGTAGATTCAATTCTTCGAAATCACAAGATGAAGGACCCAACCAATCCTACACTCTGTGTTACCATCTTTACAACTACCACTTTTAAAAGGCTAAAATAATAACCCCAAACTGGAAACTATACAAATTCCTCAACAGTAGAATAAGGAAATAAATTGTGATATATTTATACTATAAAATACCATTCTGCAATGAAAATGAACTTCAACTACATACCAAGAATGAACAAAGACAAAAACGTATGCATTGCATGATTCCATTTATATAGAGTACAAAAATCAGCAAAACTGGCCGGGTGTAGTAGTGCACGTCTGTAATCCTAGCAGCTCAGGAGGCTGAAGCAGGAGAATTGTGAGTTCAAAGTCAGCCTAAACAACTTAGTGAGACCCTGTTTTTAAACAGAATACAAAAAAATAGGGCTGGGGATGTGGCAAAGTCAGCCTCAGCAACTTAGTGAGACCCTGTTTTTAAATAAAATACAAAAAATAGGGCTGGGGATGTGGCTCGGTGATTGAGTGCCTCTGAGTTTAATCCCTTATTTTTTTATTCTGAGATAGGATCTCCCAAAATTGCTTAGGGTCTTGCTAAGATGCTGAGGCTGGCCTTAAACTTGGGATCCTTCTGCTTCAGTTTCCTGGGTTGCGGGGATTAGAGGCGTGCACCATCACACCTAGCCTAGAAAGCTAAAAGTATATGACAAATACACTTTGCATTATTTATATGTTACCAGTCAATTCTTCATGTTAGATTCTCACTACACTAACCCTTAAATAAAAGGTTAAAATCAAATCAGAAACTGTTATTTATTTCAACCTACCTATTTGTTCCCCTAAGATCAAACACTGTTTTGGGACTGGAGCTCCAAATACCATTCCTCGAAGTTTATCCATTGGAGGAGCTTTATTCTGAAGGCCCCCAAACTTTCCATTACTTCGAATTCGATCTCCATCTCTGGTCAGCAATGTGGGACAGTGTGTAATTTTAACAACCTATTGTAAGTAAATGGAAATAGTGGGTAACTTACTCTAACAGATAAGTGAAATAAATCAGTCTCAGAAAAATCAAGGGTTGAATGTTCTCTCTCAAATGTAGAAGCTAGAACAAAGTAAGGGGAAAAAGTGGGAAGCAGGAAGGTCATATACCGTAAAGATAGAGGGAAGATCAAGGGAATAGAAGGAGACTGGAGGAGAAATAGAGAAGGGGAAAAATGTGGAATGAATTTGATCAAATTATGCTACTTGCATGTATAAATATACCATAGTAAATTCTACTTTTACGTGTATCTATAAAGCACCAATCAAAAATAAATGTGTGAGCCAGATGCAGTGGTGCACGCCTGTAATCCCAGTGGCTTGGGAGGCCAAGGCAGGAGGATCGTGAGTTCAAACCCAGTCTCAGCAATGGTGAGGTGCTAAGCAACTCAGTGAGACCTTGTCTCTAAATAAAATACAAAATAGGGCTGGGAGTGTAGTTCAGTGGCCGAGCGCCCTGAGTTCCATCCCTGGTACCCCCTCCCCCCCCGGCAAAAAAGAAAAAGAAATGAGTGGACGAAGGACAGGCAGAGTAGAGGAAAGGGAATAGGGAGAGGGAGGAAGAAGGAAAGTGGGGGCACTGGGGACTGAAATGGAGTAAATTAAATTTCATGCATGTATGATTATGTCAAAAGGAACAACTATTATGTTTAACTATAATGAACTGATAAAAGCCAAAAACATTACAGTTCTACCAAAATTATCTGAGATTATCTAAGAGTATCTCTTTTCTAATATTGTCACTGATAATGCTGTCCTGAGTTTCAATTTTATAGTTGAAAAACATATCTCATTTTAATTTGTATTTGGCCTGTTAATTCATATATTTTAACCAATTTTATGTTGATCAATGTGCAGAATTTAAATTGGTTTTGACAAGGTATTTAGACATTTGTATATGTATTGGCAAATGAAATGGTTGTTGTTTTTGCAGTACTGGGGATTTAACTCAGGGGTGCTCTACCACTGAGCTATATATCCCCAGTCCTTTTTATTTTGAGACAGGGTTTAAGTTGTAAGGCTGGCCCTACCCCCCTGATCCTTTCCCCTCAGCCCCCCGAATAGCTAGGATTACAGGAGTGTTCCACCATGCTTAACTGGAATGACTTTTGTACATAGTTCTAATATAATAAAATTTAAAAACATGTTAGAATTGGAGCTACAGATTTAAAAAGAAATAAAACATATACCTCTTTTCTATAATGATTGGCTGCATCTAGATTATCCAAAATAATGGTGTCTCCTAACAGCATACCAAATACTGAAAAAGTTAAAATAAAAAAGGAATTAAATTATTAATGAAACTATCACTTATAACCTAAGAAGATATTTTTCATAATCAGCATTTTATAGATCTTTATCATAAACGTAACATCTGTATAAAAGAAAGCCACCATAATATCCTTTACCTGTTTCACAGTGTTCTATATTATCTGGAAATGTTAACAAATCTCGGGCAAAAACTGGGTCTCCAATGGGTTTAAAATATAATTTTCCATTTCGAAAATGAGGTAGAGGTCTAAAAAAGAAAAAAAAAAACTATAAAAACAAAAAATCCAAAACTTTTAAAATATATTAAATAAGTACATATAGCTTTTTAAAAAAATTATTTATTTTTATGTGGTGCTGAGGATCAAACCCAGTGTCTCACATGTGCAAGGCAAATGCTCTGCCACTGCCACATCCCCAGGCACCCCCTATAATTTTGTAATGTAAAAAAATTGGAAAACATTAATATACTGAATGTCATTTTAATCATATAATCAACTCCAATTCACAAGTGATATTCCTGAATGATGAGTTATATGCCCTTAGAAACTAAAACAACACTTACCATATAAAAATTTTCTGGTTTTATCTGTACTACTACCTTCAAGTAGTTTGTATTACCAATATAAACTACTTGTTATTGGTTTGCAAGGAAAAGAGAAAGGCATTCTCTTAAGTTGACCCAGATGAGGATGCGAGATACACTGCCTCATGTGGAGATGGGCAAGACAGAAACACTGATAAAGGAGGCAAGTCTTGAGTAAACTGAATCCCTGTCCCTCCCAAATAAAGAATAACCGAAACCTTGAATAACAATGGGATTTCAGAGATGGTAGCTGATTAGGGACAGGGACTACTTTTTGGTACCCAGGATTGAACCCAGGTGTACTTAACCGTTGAGCGACATCCCCAGTCCTTTATAATATTTTATTTAGAAACAAGGTCTTGCTAAGTTGCTTAGGGCCTCACTTAGTTACTGAGGCTGGCTTTGAACTCTTAAAAACTCCTGCCTCAGTCTCCCAAGCTACTGGGATTACAGGCATGTACCATGGCGCCCAGGGGGACTTTCTTTATATATAAGGAGAATGAAGAGATGGTGGGAGCTTATGCAAATAGCTAACTTTAGCAGGACACAGAATAACCTCCACCTTTAGGAAAAATAATAAAGGGAAGAGGAATACTGGGAACAGGAACAGGGAGCATAACCAGTTTCTAGAGCAAACTTTGGTCCTAAATACTAAATTCATACTTTTCTTAAATTAACCCTTCTTAACTTGGTCTTTAGGGATTACAGAGATAAAAAGAGGCTTCCTGGAGGGAAAATTCTCCTCACAAAAAGTATTACTCTTATCAACGCAGTAAAAAATAAATAAATTTCTTCTTTTTAATTTGTCTCACAAAAAATATTACCCTTATTAACATAACAAAAATAATACTTTAAAAAAAAAAAAAAAACATCCCCAAGCTTTTTATTTTGAGACAGGGTCTCCATAAGTTGTCCAGGCTGGCCTTGAACTTGCAAGCCCCTGGCCTTAACCTCCCGAGTCTCTGAGATTATAGGCTTATACCCTTATGCCTGGCTCAACACTATTGGAATCTTCTATGCTATCTAAAATGGATAATAATTAGCAGCAGAGTGGGAGATTTGAGCAGAATCGATAGATTTGAGTTCAAATCCCAGTTATTTTCTCAATCTTATTTTAAATTACAAAATAACATGTAAGTTTATTGACATAGGATATGTGTATTTGAGTTCCTAGTCTCTTTTACATCCTCACTTATTCCCACTTATATAGGCCTTAAAACCAAACATCTACTTGAGTCTGAAAAAGATAAAATTGGCCAATACTGTTAAACATTTTAATTTTTTTGTTTTGTTAGCATTTCCTTCTAGTATTTTGAGGTGAATTTAAAAAGAGAGACATAGTCAGAATACTTATACAATATTAAAAAAATTAGAATGCCAGGCCGGAGTTGTGGCTTAGCGGTAGAGTGCTTGCCTAGCATGTGTGAGGCCCTGGGTTCGATCCCTAGCACCTCATAAAAAAATAAATAAATAAAACAAAGGTATTGTGTCCAACTACAACTAAAAAACAAAAAGAAAAAGAAAAAGAATGTCTATGCATTCTTCATAGGGACTGCAATGCAAGGCCAGCCCAGGTAACTTAGTGAGACTCTTTTCAAAAAAAGGCAAGGAAAACAAACAAACAAATAAAAAAAAGAAAGAAAGAAAAGCCTAAGTATTTTCCACAATTTTCCCTAAAACATATTTGAAAAGCAGATGAAATAAAAATTTACTTGAAGAAACTAGATTAATACTATCCTCATATTAAAATAAGAATGTGATAGTCAACTAGATGCTCTTTTACATTTCAACTGTGCTACTGGCCAGTTGTAATATTTATGAATGACTGTGCCAACAAACCCTTTTACCTAAATGATGGCATATTTTTCACAGGACATAAAATAGGACAAAAAAAATGTGTGTGTGTGTGTGTGTGTGTGTGTGTATATATATGTACAAATCTCTATATATTTCATTACACACACACACAGCCTATTCCGAAGATATTTTGCATTCTGCTAACGATAATAATATTTTTCCAACTTTCCTGTTGCAAAGGTAAAAAGACTTGTTCTGAATTTGTGTGTGCATATGCTTGTGTGTGCATGTATATCACATATATAACCAAACATTTAGGCCAGGTGGTACTGCCCACCTATAATCCCAGCGATGCGGGAGGCTGAGGCAGGAGGATTCAAAGTTTGAGGCCAGCCTGGGAAATCTAGTGAGACTCTGTCTTAAAAAAGGGCTAGGGATGTAGACTAGTGGCAATGCACCCCTGGGTTCAATCCCCAAAACAAAACAAACAACACATTTAACCAGCAATAAAATAGCATATATAATGAAATATACTACAATATAGATATTAATGAAATATGTTCATCTGTGATGAAGTCAAGAATAATGCAGATAATTTGAGTCTTTTTTCTGTTTTGGTTATCTTTTAGAGAAATTATTTTTATTTATTTGTGGTGCTGGGAATTGAACCTAGTAACTTGCACACATTAAGGCAAATGCTCTACCACTGAGTTAGACCCCCAGTCCTAGAAATCTTAAAACAAAAACAAAACAAACCACTTATATTTTTTTTACTAACCTTTTCCAATCTGGAAGAGTCTTCTTATAAATAGAATCCAGGGGTAACACCTGTTGACGACCTTGGGTTTCATCATAGATACGACGAGCAGCATCAGTGGTTAGGGTGACCACACAATCCATGTCACTTGCCAGATGCCAAGAAATAACCATTGCAGCTCTATCATCTTCAATTTGTGCTAGATGTGCTATCTATAACCCATTTAAAAAAGCCAAGTGGAAATTTGAAAAATAAACATAAAAATTTGGTACTATTCCAAATAAAGGTGTTCTATGTTCTACTACTAGTAAAAATGTACTAAATAACTAATGCCATTTTTAGATTTAGTAAACGTAAATATAGTTATAATTAATATAATTTCTTAAGCAAAAAAAATTTTTTTTTCTTTTTGTGGTGTTGGGGATTAAACCCAGGGTCTTATGCATGCATGCGAGGCAAGCACTCTACCAATTGAGCTATATTCCCCAGACCTTAAGCAAAAGTTTTACTTAAGTATTATAATATTTCTTTCATAAAACAAATCTAAACATCACAAACAATAAGATTTTATTTCATCATCTGCCGATAAGAGTACTTCTTTCAAGTTCAGGAAAAATGATCATTTTTCTATTTACAAATACTTGCTGTCACAAGAATTCCTGCTCAAGGTCCACCAAGGTTGGGCTATTGTGGCTAATATCAAACATTCATCGTATTGGTATGGTCATGACTACCCTTTATTTTTTGCCCAATGTGGTAACAAAATTTGCCTAACAACAAGAATATTTTGTATCTATGTTAGAACCTTCATAGTGCCTGCCCTTGTTTTCCAATTCAATAGAAGTAGGTGGGGAAGAAAGTAAGAAAACGGACATGTCAAAAAACAAAAAAACACTAGTAAATATAAATGAAGAAAAAAAATTTCTAGTCAACGTAGGGAAGATTAATAGAGGCAAATAAAAGCAGAATAAACAACCCTTGTTTGTTACAATTAGATTTATTTTCTAAAGAAATACTATAAAACAATGGAGTAAAATCTATTATGATGGTATATCAACTATAAACACACCTATATTTAATTGAATCAAAAAAATCTTAAAAATGCTACGAATTCTTCCTTCTTTAGGGATGAGATTTCAAGATATTTTAAGTTGAGGAGGAAAAGACTAAAATGTCCAAGTTAAGTGAGGTAGTCACATGTTAAAACTAAATACACGAGAATATTTTGGAGGAAATCTTCTATTGCTCCTCACTATATTTCCATTATTTCCTGCTTTACTAGTTTTATGGCAAATTCCAGAATTTTTTAAAAGGAATCAAGGAAGAAAAATTAGGGACGATTTGGAGGAGTTAGAAAGTTTTCTGTAATAGAAGGGTTTGTACTTCTGAGGGGCAGAGGAAAAATTATATAAAATGAAATTTCAAGTATTTCCTCCAGGAGTTTCAAGATACATGATAAGGAATACTTAAATAGGGGACTTTTAAATATTTTTCTTCTCCTGAAATTTATTTTATACCTTGTTAGACATATTATACTCTGAACAAAGAATTTTATGTTGAATGAACATGAAAATGCACGAAGAGATTACAGGTATCCACATGCTTAGAATAAGGACTCTTATTATAAACTGGTTGTAGAGAACACCATTTTACAACAATGTCTTAGCATCTTCTTTTCCAATTTATAAATACACATTCTTAATTTTACAATTTGCAGATTTGAATTTGAACAATAATGTAACATGGTTTGATCCATAAACACTGCTACATATGACCCTTTATTTTCAGTGTGTAGTTCAATTCCAGGGTAGATGACAATGTATAAAGAAACTTTCATGGATTCTGAAGTCAGAGACACCTGGGTTCACATCTAAGCTCTGCCATTAAGTATATCTTAACAACTAATATTTAAGTTCCTTGAACTTCAAGGTCCTCATATATAAGCCAGAAATACAATAAACTGTTTACACAGTGGTTATTGAAGTAGAATAACGTACATAAACAAGTACAGACTTTGGATTCAAACTGCCTATTTGAGCCTGTTGCTAGCAGTCCAATTGTGAGCAAGTTTTTTAGTCTCTCTATATCTTCAGTTTTAGTTTAATTTTAAAATGGCAATAAAGGCAACGAGACGTAATATATAGAAAAGTCTAACAAGTAAAACATACATATATGCCCAAGTGTGTCAGGAAAAAATCTATTAAAAATATAAGAAGCAACACTTACTGAAATAACTTACTAATAGTAGCAAATAGATATTCTAACTGAGAAAAATATAATACAGAATGTTCATGATTAAATAGTAGGATCAAAACAAATATAATTTATTTGACAAAAGTAACCAAAGAGGGAAAGGAAAACAGGAAGAATGGTAGAATGGTACTCTTGCCATTGGCAGCAAATATATAAGGAATTTGCTACAACATTAGACTTGGAACTCAGAATTCTTCTGATAATAAACTATAAAAAAATCTTAGCTCTCCTTAAAGACCTACAACATAAAAGCATATTTAAATAAGCCCTCATTCAGGATATGTGAACAATTTCTGCATAGCTCTCAATGACAGTAATAATTATTAATTCAGTTTTAAGCTCTGCCAAATCCCTATTAGGGTACTCAAGAGTAGGCAATTCACTAGAACAAATTAACAAATACAAAGAAATTTGACATTAAAATGTCACTTTTAGACAACATATTTTCAATAAGTAAAAACAAGATAATAAAGAGTGTACTGCTTCTTAAAGGGCTTCAATACATACTTTCCCCAAAACATCTCCACTGCCTTTTGTATAGTTTGGTAGAGTACATGATCTTCTGGGTTTTTTCTTTAGTTCTTCCTGTTCTGACATCTTTCTTTTCAAAAGTGCTTCAATGTGTGGTATCTATAATTTAAAAAGGAAAACTATCTATAAAGTCAATTACTCTTGTACCAGGCAGCCAATAAATACAGCAAAGAAAAGTGAACAATCTGGAAAATTTGAGAACACTAAGTTAATCAGTGGACATTACTTAAAACAATGACAAAACACAACTATGGTTAACAGTAACATAGAAAGAATTCTCATCTTCACGCAACGCCAGCACCCCTAAGTACTGGGAATTGAGCTCAGGGGTGCTTTAACACATCCCCAGCCCTTTTTATTTTAGACAGGATTTCAATAAGTTGCTTAGGACATTACTAAATAGCTGAGGCTGGCTTTGAACTTCAATCCCCCTGTTTCAGCCTCCAGAGCCACTGGGATTATAGGCATGTGTCACCACACCCAGATCACTGAATCTTTTATATGTGTGCATGTGTAGTGCTAAGGAATAAATCCAGGTTTTTGTGCATGCTAGACAAGCTCTCTATCACATAACTACACTCCATCTCAAAGACAGAATACTTTTTTGTTTGTTTAGCAGTGTTGGGGGAGTGAGCCTGGGGTCTGGAACATTCTAAGCACACATTCTACTACTGAACCTACTCCTATGTTTTTTATCTTTGTTAAGAAATTTCTATACATACTATTTTTCTTTGAAGTTGAATTGCACATATAAATTTTTAAAAACTCTAAACTTCTTTTTGTTACTTTATTTTCTTTACCATCGTGTATGTTATTACTTATGCAGCCCCTTAATGCAGCTCTTCAGCTGGTGTTTTTATTGGTATAATTACACTGAAAATACAATTTTTCCCCCTTTGGTACTGAAGATTTAACCCAGGAGTGCTTTACCACTGGGCTATATCCCCAGTTTTTTTTTTTTTTTTTTTTTTTTTTTTGAGACAGTCTCACTAAATTGCTAAGGCTGGCCTTGAACTTGTGTTCTTCATGTCAGCCTCATGAAACAAACTGCAATTTATTGGAAAAGAGCATTCTATCATTTTGTTTGTACCTTTTAATGTATAGTAACTGGAGTATAATGTACTCCAGTCTTTGTACCCTAAAATAATAGTGCCCATAGCATTCCCAATAAAACATAAGTAGCTGAATATAATTTAAAAATATTTCACACACAGTTAGAAACTATACCTGTTGTGTTACAGGAATGTCAATATTATGTGCTTTCAGTTCATTTCGCAACTGGGCCTCTTTTAATTTTGCCTCCTCAACTTGGCCTAAAATTATATATAACAAAAAAATTCCATCAATTTCTGATAGTCCCCAAAACAAAGTTTGTGGAAAAAAAAAATTCATTTTCAATTTCTTTTCTTTCCTCTTAATGTATAATGCTAAAATGAAAATTGACAGATGATTATTTTAGAAATTCAAAATTAAACTATGAATCTCAAAGTTGAACTCTAATATATAAAAAGGAGAGACACTGCAGCTAAGGGAGATAAAATATGCTCTAGGATCTTGTACAGATATACAAAAAGTATAGCTTGAGGCGGGCAGCATATATTTATTGGTACACTGATTAAAATTTTAACTATATAACAAATGCAAAGTAAAAAACCTAGCAAAAACATCTGACAAAAGGGAATAATATAGATAATATAGTACAACTCAGCAAATGCCTTATTTTAATTGTATACAAAACTTATTAAAAATTGCAGCAAATATTCTGAGAATGGACTCATTTAAAAATAAGTTATGTATTTCAGTATTAGTGTGTGTAGTATCATAACACCATGGTGTATAATATATATATAGGTGCATTACCCAAACTAAAAAATAAACTACTTATTACTCTCTTAATAATAATGTTATCCAATATCTTTTTCCAGTACCTAGAGGTAGATATTAACATTAACACTGTATGGAAAACCATACATTTTCCACAGATCAGATTTCTAACAGAAAATTCCAAATTTTTATAATTTGTAAATATATAAATTTATTTAAAATGAGGACTATTTCATTTTAAAACTTGCCAATGATGAATAACAAATTATTATCACTACCTTTCTACAGAGTTCTGCATTTCACTTGTAATCCAGGAAAACAGACACATTTGTGTTTCATGGTCTCCACCATCTGCCTCATCATTCCCCAAAGCCTAATTTTTTATTTCCTCTGACTACAAGATGACTTACATTTGATTTCATCAAGAAGCTGTTTGCTGGCATCAAATAAACTTCTATACATAACAATAGACTTAGATAACTGGTCCTTTTCTTTTGTAAGTGCTGCCATTTGTTGCTGCTTCTTAACATCTAAGAAAAAAATTCAGATTTAACTTAAACAACTTAAAAATCACAACTTTAAAAAAATACATCACAACATTATGTTAATACACAGCAAAGCAAGATTAATCAAGTACCTCTAAACAATAGGGTTTCATTATCTATTTTCCTAGAAACTTACCATTGTAAAACATAAATGGTAGGATATATGGTTCTAATGTTCTTGATAAAGATGGTAGCCGAGGCTCAAAAACAATAAAATATTCAGTACTATCCCTTCCAGGACTATTTTCTGCCAGTACTAGACTCTGTATAAATAAAGAAGCATTAAGGAAAATAAAGATTTGAAAAGAAAAATTTCAGTGTTACATATCTGATCATACTGTTTTCAAATAAGTGGTAAATTAAGGTTTATTAAACTATCACCACCACTCAAGACACAAAATAAAACATTTTACCTTTAGGTATTGGTTTAAAAGTCAAATGATCTTATCAATACAGCTTATGGAAAAATTATGTATAATAGAAAATAGAAAAATATAGTAGCATTCCCTTCACACCAGATACATAATGGCCACTTATATGTTGATTTGCAAAATCTTCATTCTCACCTTTAAGGTGAAGCAATGTGAAATAGCTTATGGGGTGAACATTATAAAAACAACAGAGAGAAATACCCAAACCCCAATGCTGAGATTAAGTTACAGCTGTTACCATGGAAGTAGACCCACCAGTCCCAGGTGACATTTCAAAAGGTACTGAAAAGCTCTCAGGATTTATTCTTTAAAATTTTATTTTTTCACTAATCCACAAAACACCTTTAATATACTTTAGCCAAGACCACATCATATAACTAGTAAATGATGCAACTTAAATATTTTTATCCTAAATGATTTTTCATATTTCCACAGAAAATAATCTATTAGTTGCTTTTTATGATAAAATTTACATAAAGTAACATTTTTTAAAAAAACCTGAACACTGTAGATGAATTATTTTTCCAAATTATAGAGAACATAAACCCACCATTAAACCAATTACCAATGCCTTTGTTTCTGAAAGCTGTTTCCAGTGTATTATATATGAATGCAAACACATGATAATGAGAAATATAATAACTACTTAAAAGCATTTATTTTTGTAGGTAAATATCAAATTTCTCTTCAAAATAAAAGTGTTATCAATTTATACTTTCACAAACAGTATGTGAGCGTACCTAATTCCCCTGATGCTGGCCAACATTTAACATCAACCATGTATTTTTTTTTTTTTTTTCTAAAAAGGAGGAATTTAAAAACCAACCAATCATTATTGTTTTAAATCACCTTTCCCTGAGTGGTACACTGAGGTCATGCTTCTTATGTTTACTGCTCATTTATATTCACTCTTCCATTAAACTGCCTGCTCAAATTCTGTGCCCATTTACTTGTCTTTTTTTCTTACTGATTTGCAAGAAGTTTGTAAAGAGGTATTAAATTATGTTCAATATATTAATCTTCTATTATATATATACATATATAGAATACTATTTCTCAGCTGGGCACGGTGGCACAAGCTTGTAATCCCAGGGGCTCAGGAGGCTGAGACAGGAGGATTATGAGTTCAAAGACAACCTTAGCAAAAAGTGAGGCACTAAGCAACTCAATAAGACCCTGTCTCTAAATAAAATACAAAATAGGGCTGGGGATGTGGCTCAGGGGTCAAGTACCCTTGAGTTCAATTCCTGGTACTCCCACAAAAATAATTTCTCCACAATTTATCACCCTTAAATTTTTTCCTCCTTCTGTTATAGAATGAGGTTAATGAATCTTTAAGTACTAACCATCATAGATTGTTGAAATTATTAACACACTGGCACTTCTTTTAATTGTTTAAGATATGCTTATGCTACATTAAAATTTAACTTTTAATGTAATTAAACATAATCTTTTCCTTCATATCTTGTTTGTTTTACTGTAAAAGCCTGAGATAGAAAGGACTTCCTATATTTTATAATCAATGATTTTAAAAAAAAGAAACACAGAATAACAGAAACAAACAAAAGCAAGGATTTAAGTATAAATAAGGATTAGGCAGAAATAAAATGGAAAAATGAATATCAGAATAAAACTGAGTTATTTTTCAGAAATTTCCAGGTCAAGTAGGCAAACAATAGCAAATTTGAAGACAAGAATTAACAAACTTGAACAATTTATAAATTTATAATTTAGATTATAATTTGAAACAAAGCAACATATATTCTTTTCAAGCAAATATGGAACATCTACTAATTTTAGTTGTATTCTGGGAAAGTGTTTCCTACCCACCCCACCGCAAAAAGCACCTGCTGGGCTAGAGGGCTCAGTGGAGGCCCCAGGCTCAAACCCCAGCACAAAACAAAAACAGAAAACAAACAAGTGAAAAAACAAAACAGAAAGTATATCCTGTCTATGTCTGATATATCAAAGTGCATAAATGCATTCTATTTTCATGTGTAACTAATTAAAACAAATTAATTTTTTTTAAAAGACCCATGATCTTGTTAAAAAATCAGATTTCAGCTAGGAATGCCTGTAATCCCAGCGACTTGGTAGGCTGAGGCAGGAGAATCACAAATTTGAGACCAGCCTGAGCAACTTAGCAAGACCCTGTTCTCAACATAAAAACTAAAATGGACTGAAGATGCAGCTCAGTGATAAAGAGCCCCTGGAAAAGCCCTTGTATTTTTTTTTTTTTTTTAAATCAGATTTCAGAGCTCTGCTCCAGACAAATTAAAAAAAAAATGACTCACCCAAAATGAAAACAAAACCCCTAAAAACAAACAAAAAACAATTCACACAACCCACAAAACACACACACCAGTATGTGGGAGCCATGACAAGACAAATTAAGAAAACTTAACTTTTGTTTATTCATTGAGATCATAGGGACCTCTAGTGGTGAGAAGAAATTCATATACATGAGGGAAGTTTAGATTTTATGTGTCAGCTGATGGGAAACAGCTTAAGCCACTATCTTTACCTCAGGAGTATATACAGCAGGAATAGCAATTTCAAATGTATATGAGCACTGGGGAGAGCAAGGGAGACTCAAGAAAATAGGACATAGGTAAATAAGAAATAGGTAAAGTGGGTTAGATGTATTCTTCTAACACAAACCCACTGGGCATGTTAAACATGTTTTTCCACATATGGCTTTCATTATCTAATTTTTATTAGGGTACAAAAAATTTCATTTTACTCTTCCCTAAATTAAAAGTGGAAACTAACATTTGTCTTCAATATCAAGAGGTAAGGAATAGCCACTATTCAGGCCACACATAAGAGAATCCTTGCCAGTATTGCTAGATCTTTAGATTTCTCCAAATAAATAAGACATGCATATCTTTATGTGACAACTCCAGATTTTTAAATGTTTGTGACTTTTTTTTTTTTGGTGGTGCTGGGGATTGAGCCCAGGGCCTTGTGCATGTTAGACAATACTCTACCAACTGAGCTCTATCTCCAGCCCCCAATGTTAGTAACATTTTAATTAATGAAAATGCTGTATTGGTCAGTCATTGTCAAACCAACTGACATGCCTCAGGAACCATGCAGCTACCAGACTCCCAGGTTTATAAGCCTAAGGTTATTAAAACAATGTGATGCTAACAATGGATTAGAGATAAAGATGAACAAGAAAGAAAAGGTAACATTTCAAAGTTATCAGAATAGGAAGAACTATTCAATAAAGACATTGAGCAAATTCGTTAATATGAAAAAGGGTAAAATAAAATCCAGACAAATCGAAGATTAAAGGCATGAAAACTAGAGATAGCATTGTGAATATTATCTGCCTTCCCTTTAACATAAACAAAGGTAAAAATCTAAAAAAACAAATTCAGAAAAAAGTACTTACGTATAAGAGTATTAATACCTTTAATACATATAAGATGAAAACAGTTAACATTTCAAAAGGAAATGAGTCAATGAACAATCATACAAATCAAAACTAAAAATTGTTCAACCTTATCAGTAACAAAGAAAAGTTTTTTTTTTTAAAATAGGGAACTTGGTTAGAATTTCAAAATGTTCATATGTAGTACTGCAAACAAGAGAAAGATGGACAAATTTCTGGTGGGTGAATAAATAAAAAAGCAACTGGCAATAACTATCAAAAGATTTTTAAAATGTGCATATCCTGTATCTAACCATTTTTGTTTCTAGCAATTTCTCAAGGAAAGCGTATATGTAAACATATATACTTAAAAGAAAGCTGGTTGAAAATATTGTTAGTAAAATCAAACTTCAGAAAGAACTAAACTTTTGCCAAGGATTGATGAAAATAAATTGTGGTCATTGTATTAATGATACCAGCTTATATCCATGATGAAGAGATATATCAAAGATAAGAAAAAAGCTTTTTATAAAAGCATAGTCATCTTAATGAAGCTTAATGTAATTGTATATACCCCTCCCTCAACATGTGTATTATTCATAGGGGTGTGTGCATACTGTTGTGTGTAGAGAGAAACACTGGAAGGTTGTAGAATAAATTGCTAATCAGTGTTTCCTCTAAAGGGGGTACCATGATTATGGAGGTTTTTACACTGTGTGTTTTTTTCTTAAAAATAAAAAAATGTTCATTTTAAAAAAGAAAAAAGATAGGCTGTTATTTATTAAATTTTACCTGGACTATTCAATTTTATTTCTATCCACATGCAGGCAGCATTACAACGAAACATAAACAGTATACTGACATTAAAATTAAAAATCACTAGAATCAGAGAAAGCTTTTTGTATCATGGCAGGGAAAAAGGAGGTCTTAATATTAGTAACAATGTCTTTGGGTTCAATGCACAATCTCAGAACAAAACTGCAAAATATTTCAGCTGACTTTCCAATTTGGTGCATTACTTAGAACATCTTCATAGCTATACATACAAAAGAAAAGGTAGCTTAATATGTTGGTTTAAATTGTTAAGTGCAGAATGGTGAATCTCTACTTGTATACAACCAGAGAATTGAAATGTTGTGCTCCATTTGTGTATGATGAATTGAAATGTATTTTGCTGTCATGTACAACTAAGTAGAACAAAAAAAAAAGAAGAAGAAAATGTTAAGTGCAGAAATCTTATCTACCAAAAGATATAAACATTTACCGTGATTTCAGCTGAACCATTCACAAAGGGAAATTCAAGTGTTCTAATTTTCCCGATAAAGAGTGGAGTATCAGTGTCTTCCTCATGAAAACCTTTAATGGTAGCTACTATAGTGCCAACCAAATTTATTCCAGTATGATTGCCATATTCATCCTTAAAAGAAATAGAAAATAACTATTAGTTATTGGTTAGAAGACTAAACCCAGGGAAGGACATGTATGAATCAGAAATAAGACACATATTTATAGAGCCCCAGCAAGAAATTATCCTCATCCTTTTAAATTCAAACATGGAATTCAGTCCTAAGTTTGTGGTCCACATACAGGAAATAGTTCCAGAAACCATTTAACCAGAGACAACGATTTCTAATACAATGATTCCTAACTTTCTCAATTGTAAGAACTCTCATTTAAAATTTCATATTATGTATCTTAGCATCTACTGCTATGAAAAAGTCATCACTAACAAAAAGATATTATGAATTTATAGCACTTTTAAGTTGTTTTTTAGTAACTTCAACAGCATCAGACCTGTGTAAATTATACTCTTCAGGCAATTTTTGGTGTGCTTATGAATGCAGACACTTAAAGTACTTACATGTTACCATTTACCCTGACAAGATGTTTGGGAAGAGAAGTTAGAACCACTCACTTGTCTAAAAAATGGGAACATAAACTTTTATAAAAGGAGTTAAGTATTGAACCAGCCATATTTTCCATTAAGATATAGTCTCACTACTGTGTTTTTTCTATGGTGCTGAGGATCAAACTCAGGGCTTTTGCACATGCTAGGCAAATGCTGGCTACATACCCAGGCCCTCAATTCCGCTTTTCATATTTTTGTTAATATTTTTGGCAGTTTCTTTGCTGCTTACTGAACAGGTCATCAGCAGCCTTGAGAAGCTCTGAGTTTCTTCCTTAAGGCATTTTGTTCCATCATCCTAGATGTGTAACACTTTAAAAAACTTAAAACATAGTATATAATATTGTAATGTATTGAATATATTAACTAATATCATTTCCAACCTTTTAATGTACCTGTGTCAATTTCATTTAAATATTCAAAGAACCGAAAATTTGGAACTTAATGGATTAATAACGATCAGTCATCAGAGATCTCTTAAAAAAAAAATGTAACTATCTTTGTCTATCTCTTCTGTGAACCAGGCATTGAGAAATCAATATGGTTCACAAACCTTCACAACACATACATGAAATAGGAAAGGTAAGGCAGAAATTAGAGAAATGAAAATTAAAACTACACTGAGATTCCATTTCACTCTAGTCAGAATGGCAATTACCAAGAATACAAGTAACAATAAATGTTGGTGAGGATGTGGGTAAAAAGATTTGCTCCATACACTGTCATAGGGATGAAAATTGGTGCAACTACTATGGAAAGCTATAAGAGGATTCCTTAGGAAACTTGGAATTAAACCACCATTTGACCCAGTTATCCCACTTCTCAGTACATGCCGAAAGGACTTAAAATCAGCATATTACAGTGATGCAGTCACATCAATGTTTATACCAGCTCAATTCACAATTGCTAAGCCGGGGAACCAATTGAGTTCAGATGAATGGATTAAGAAAATGTGGTATATATACACAACGGAGTATTACTCAGCCATAAATAATAATTATGGCACTTGCCAGTAAATGGAGGGAACTGGAGACTATCATGCTAAGTGAAATAAGCCAAACTCAAAAAAGCCAAAGGCTGAGTGTTCTCTCTGATGTGTGGATGCTGACACATAGTAAGGGGAGGGAGGCAAGAATAGAAGTTCATTAGATTAGACAGAGGAAGGAAGGGACAGGAGAATGAATCGGATATAACTTTCCTATGTCCATATATGCATACATGGCCAGTGAAACTTCACATCATGTTAAATTGCAAGAATTGAATCCTAATTATGCTAACTTATACTCCATGTATATAATGTCAGAATATACTGTTATGTATATCTAAAAAAAAAATTAAAGAAAAAGTAGGCAGATTTCTGCATTTTGAGTCAGTTATTAGTATATCTGAATTTATTTTATTTACAATGTTATGCATTCTCTAGTCATATCCAAACACAGAGATGCTTAAAAATACTTAATTCATCTGCACAAGTTTTCCCTTTAAGCTTAAACTCAATAATGTGACTCTATAACAACTTTTGCACCCAAACATCAAAGACAATTTTTTCTTGTTATCCCTTTGTAGTTTTGAAAGAAGATAATATTACCGTGATACTGAGGCGTAAATCTTTGACCAAGGTCCTACTGGCAACTGAGCGAACATTAGAAACAGCTGGAGTAGCTGGCTGAATTTCAGGAACCAACTTCACAGGCTGATTAGGTAGAACATCAATCATAACCTTATAAAACAAAAGAATCATACTGAACAATAACATATTAATGCTTTACCATTTAACAGAAAGACAATAAAAAATGATGGCATATACTAAATTAAATATTACCATCTAAAATTCATTTTCATTAATCTCTTAGAAGTAATTTACTTTAGTGGTACAGATACACAATGGAATATTACTCAACCATAAAAAAGAATGAAATTATGGCATTTGCTGCTAAATAGATGGAACTAGAGACGATCATGCTAAGTGAAATAAGCCAGTCCCCCCAAACCAAAGGCTGAATGTTCCCTCTGCTATGTAGATGATGACTCACATTAGGGAAGGGGTAATGGGTAGGGGAGAGATTCTCCAGACTGCACAGGGTGGAGTGGGGGAGAGGGAAGGGAGGAAGGATGGGAATGACAGTAGAATGAATTGGATATAACTTTCTTATGTTCCTATATGAATACACAACCAGTATAACTCCACATCATGTACAACCACAAAATGGGAAGTTATACCCCATATATATATATATCAAAATAGATCCTACTGTCCTGTATAACTAAAAAGAATTAAAATAAACAAACAACAAAGTGAAGCCACTCCACACAAGCTTGCCCTGTTCTGCATGAGGCCATTTCCCTTCCTGCCTCTCTACCATGTTGTGGTGCAGCCAAAGGAGCCCTCACCAGGTGCCAAATAGATGGTGTGGCCCGATCCTCAACTTCCAGCCTCCAAAACTGTGAGCTAAATAAAACTCTTTTCTTTATAAAATACCACACCTTGGGTTTTTGTTACAGCAATAGAAAAAAATATATATATACTGTCAAAATATTTTTCTCCTTCCAATTTTCCCAGAGTTCTTGCAGCTATGTGTGGTCATGTAAGTAGTCACTGTCAATGAAGTTTGAGGGAATGGTGCGGGTTACTTCTGGGCAAGTTTCTTTTCTTAAAACTTTAAATTCTGAAATAACTAAATATTCATAATAATTTGCTAACAAATGCACAGGAAAATGGCTTGCACTTTTTAGTTACTCATCTACAGTGGTATCCTGCATAACTATAACACAACATTAAAATCTACATGTTAACACAGAATATATTTAGATGTGTGTGTGTGGCAACTCATTTTATCACATGCATCACTGTGTAACTGCCAACCCAATTAAGACACAGAACTATCCTGTCACCCATGCTACCCTTTTACAATCACAACCTCCTGCTCCTTGCCCTAAATTTCAATATCAAATCTGCTCTTAATTTCTACATTTTTTTTTTCAGATTTTTTTTTTTTAATATTTATTTTTTAGTTTTCGGCGGACACAACATCTTTGTTTGTACATGGTGCTGAGGATCGAACCCGGGCCGCACGCATGAGAGGTGAGCGCACTACCGCTTGAGCCACATCCCCAGCCCCTCTACATTTTTTTTTTAAGTTTCAGGAATGTCTATCCAATTGAATTGGACAGTTAAAAAAAAAGTAATTTACTTAAAAAGTTCAGAATAAAAGTTATGCCAAATTAATTTTTTAATAAAATAAGCATCTAAAAACAAACTGAGAAGCACTTAAAGAGTTTAAGTATTTTTTTAAAATTCAGTACATTGAAAAAATTAAATAGAAATGACATATGTTGGAATTAACTTGAACTTCACTACCTAGTATACTAATAACTGAAATGTCATCAACTAAAAATTTCTCATGTATGATTAACATGAGCAACTTTACCATGATATACACCTCCCCCTTATCCATAGATTTGTTCTCCGTAGTTTCAGTTGCCTGAGGTCAACTGTGGTCCAAAAGTATTAAATGGAAAATTTCAGAAATTAACAATTCGTAAATTTTAAATAATTTTTAGCTGGGCATGGTGCCACATGCCTATGATCCCAATTACTTGGGAGGTAAAGATAGAAAAATTACAAATTCAAGGCCAGCATGAGCAACTCAGCAAGACTCTATTGCAAAAACAACAAAAACCAACCCACACATGAATCAACTTTTTTTTTTTTTTTTTAAATAGAATACTGCTAAAATTGTTCATGTGAATCTCCTGTTGTATCTAGTTTATAAACTAAACTTCATTTTAGGAATGTATATACAAGAAAAAAACAGTATATATAGTAGTTGGTACTATGCATGGTTTCAGGTACCCACTGGGGATCTTGGTATGTGTCTTCAATAAATAAGGGGGGGAATTGGATTTATACCTTGCATCCAATAATTAATTCACTTTTCAACTAAATACTTTATTCATAAACTAAGAGAAAAATGTAAAGTTAATCAAAATATATAAAGAAAGTAAGCAAACCTGTTCGCTGCTGAGAACATTTGTTTTATCCATCATAAAACCAAACTGGATACAGTATGTCCCCACTTTGTTAGGAATTACTTTATCCCTAGATTGAAAAGGAAGTGATAAGGTTTTTGACAATTTAAATAAAGGGGAAAGAAATTCAAAGCATCAACATTTCCTTTCACAAAAAGTTAATTAATAGTAATAAGATAATTACCAATATTATATTTGTCTTCATTTGTTCAACAAATATCGTATATTAAGTTAAATCCCAGGTCCCCTTTACTTGTACATTCTTTCACAAAACAAAGGCTCTGGATATAATAAGAATGGAAATAGGAATACAGTAGCAAGCACACAAAATATGATAAAGTATATAGGTCAAGTGAATTTTGTTTCACTTCTATATTATAAATTTCCAATGAATGGTTTTATATTTCAAAATTATGAGTCATCTTGCTGAGCTTCTATGTTGCTTTACTTTCTATTCAAACAGTTGTCTAAATATCTGACAATATATCCAAGTTATTTACTGTAATTTGATTTCTTAACTAATGTTCCTACTAGGAACACAAACATAGTTATACTTTAACCCAATGAAAATATGAATAAATGAATGAATGAATGATGTTACAGTAAAAATTAAACAAGACCTGCTTCCAAATGGTCTGTCATGATGAAAACAGCCATGTAAAAAAATGTTTTTTGGAAGATGCTCCAGAGTTAACAAAGCATAAAGAGGACTCAGTATCATATAATAAGATAGGATAAAAACCCTGGTAGATAAGTTTCACATATAAAGCTGCTTTATTCCTGGGAGAGAATTCTAGGAACATAGGTAGACCTAAACTACACAGGCTTTCAAGGGAAATGCAAATTGACAGAGACAAATGTAAATCTTCTCTGGGGAAAGATTATTATCCCAGGCATATATTATTTCCATACATATTAATAAATAAAAATGTCTGATACAATAGCAAAATAATAAAGAGGCAATAAATAGACTAAAATATCAATAGAACAAGAGAAAATAAAAAATGACCTACAGGAACTTTGCACTATTACTACTCAGGTTGATAAAAGACAAGACTACAAATGCTGACAACTGGACCTTTAAAAAAAAAATGTTAAATGTAAGCCAAGAATAGTTTTAAGTGCCTTGTAGTCCCAGACATTCAGGAGGCTGAGGTGAGACGAATGCTTGAGCACATGAGTTTGAGACCAGCCTGGGTAAAAGAGCAAGACCTTGTCTCAAAAACAAACAAACAAACAAACAAAACCCCTTAAACGTAAGTATGAGAACAAAAAATGTCAAATAATTGAAAGATTATGTAACTCAAAAGATGGACTTAACAGCAAATCATACTGCATATGGAATTAGTTACCTGAAGACAGTTCAAAGTCAATAGTATGAGAAGACAGAAAAGAATGGAAAATAGAGAAAAGACAGTAACAGAGCACACTGTGAAAAAGGCTAACAAACTTACACAAGAAACACCTGATGAGATAGTGATTGACAATTGTTCAAAACTAAAGACAACACAATCAAATCCGAGACTAGGATACATGCTCAAAAGAACTCCAAAGAAAATCAAGTCAGGAGAGATTTTTATGTGTGTGTACAACACACAAAGCAGGAAGAAAGGAGGTAATAAGTGGAAGAAGAAGGAGGTGGGGCTTCCATGACAATGGCATTACTTCTTGACTTTAGTAGAGGGTGCACATTCACTTTGGGCAAAATCACAATGTTGCATATCCTGCTTTTTGTATTTCTTGGGTACTGTATCTCACTTTCAAAAAGATTAAAAAATTAAACAGATTATATGTACAACCCCAAACACAGTTTGGGTTAGGAACACAGACACATTAGGAACCTAAATATTATTTTCATTTATTCAAACACAATTAATATATGTAAGCATATATTAAACAATGAAAGAATGTGATAATTTTTTAATGAGGTAAAATTCATAGAACATAAAATTAACAATTTTAAGACCTATCATTCATTGATAGTACATGCACACTGTTATGTAACTAACCACCTCTACTTAGTTCCAAAACATGATTATTTTTAAGATTTATTAAAATGGATGGAGGGCTGGGGTAGTAGGTCAGTTCTAAGAGTGTTTGCCTCACATGTGTGAGGCATTGGGTTCAATTCTCAGTACTGTATATAAATAAATGAATATAATACAGGTCCATCAATAATTTAAAAAAATTGAAAAATAAATAAATAAATCAGCTTCTGTAATAATTTGGGTATATTTAAAAGACTGAAGGCAATGTTGGTCCAAGGACAGAGGCTGGTCTGAACATTCTGCTATTGGTCTGTCATAGAAAATTATATAACTCGAGTGTTCACAATCATTGATAGCCACATTGACATTGCCTTGACAAGTATACATTCAGTGGACATTTTTTATTTTAAACAAAAAGCATCAATCTATCTATCACTGATTGAGAGTTTTTAGAAATCTAAACCTGGTCCTTTATCAGTATGAAAAGGCACTGAACAAACATAATAATCATTTTTTACTCCATTGACATTAATGTAAAGAACTTACAAAGAAACCTTGTGAGGGAGGGGAAAGAAAAAAGAAATCTTAGACATAATCCTTTCAAAACATTTTTCAAATTTTAGAATGGTGGTCCAGAATGAAGGTGCAACAGATCGTAGTCACATAAACAGTAGAAGCCAGTCCAATCTTACTTCATAAAATCGTAGAATAAAAATTTCCTATAATAAAAAACCATACCTTGATAATATAAAGGAAGTCTCATGACTTTCAAAGTTTCTAATACTGATATGGACCATCACAAAAATCTTTCCCCAAACCATATTACAAAAGTCTATTAAGAACAAACAACACACATCTTCTTCCGCCCCCCCCCACCCCAAAAAAAACCTACCCAATAACAAAATCATAAATTACTTTCCTTAGATAAGCAGGCAAATGTCTCTAAGGGAGAATTACTTTTGTAATAAGTCAGGCATGAAAATGATTTTAAAAATACCTGAAATAGAAGCAACCATCTTCCTTGTCATTATCTTTTATTTTATTACAACTAAATGTTTCTGCCTAGAAAGGAGAGTAGGAGAAAAGGGGAAAAAACAAAGTCAATTCACAATGAAAACTTACACACACATGTATCTTTATAAAATATGCAAGACAATGAAAAAAGTCACAAAGAAACATCCATTAAAATGTATATAGCAGGGGCTGGGGTTGTGGTTCAGTGGTAGAGCACTCACCTAGCATGTGTGAGGCACTGGGTTCAATCCTTACCACCACATAAAAATCAAATAAATATATTGTGTCTACCTACAACTAATAATATTTTTTTAAAAAGGTATATAATAGATCTCTATACTGATGACAATATTTTAAAGTACTAGCAGTTTCACTGTCTTACTGGTGTAAATTGAATGAGTGAAGATCATGGTTGCTGAAACCATGGTAACTTTTGGGACTATCAAACAAGCTAGTTTCTAAAAAAGATAATGTGATAAACCGTAAATGCTGAAGTGGATTATGAAAATGGGACATTCTGACAAATTTTAAAATTTAGTTTCCAATTTGATATTTATCTCAAATTTTTACTATCCACTATGGAAGCCAATAGCTGTATGGAGCTTAATTATTAAGCATTCAATATATAGCTGGTCTGAATTGATAAGGTTTAAGATATAAAACAAACTGCAAAGAAATGGAAAAAGAATGCAAAATCTCATTAATAAATTTAAAAATACTGAATACATGCTTAAATGGTAATTTTTCATATTTTTGATATTTTATGATTAAAAACAATTTAAATTAATTTTACTTATTTCTTTTTACCTTTTTAATATAGTTACTAGAAAATTTAAATGCCACCTATGATATTTATACAGAACAGCAATGTTCTACACCCTCAAGCTCTTCTCCCTATGTTTATCTGCCTTATAGTTTATCAATATCTCTTTGCTCTCTCATTTTCTATGTTAACCCTTGGTGATAATTAATGGCTTTTTCTATTCTATTTTACAAAATAGTGTAAAATATCTTAACATGATAAGAAAAATCACAATGTAAGCTACTGTATTTCAATAGCATCAACAAGCTACGTGCAATGGTGTGCACCTATAATTCCAGCTACCTGGAAGGCTGAGGCATGACTGGATGTTTAAGAAAGATCAGCCCTGACAACATAGTGAGAGCCCATTAAAACAAACAAACAAACAAAAAACCCCAATATCTTCAACACTTAACTTTGAAACATATACTGATGCATATTTTTTTAATCCCAAGCAATAGAGTATATTAATTTTCAATTCTCAAATATAGACATGTTGCATTTTACACTAGATTTAATTTTAACTTAAATGTAAGGGCTATTTTTAACTTTTAAAAATGATTCCCATTACTCACATTTGCTGGTGGTCGGTTCATACTGCTTACCAGCTTCCACATTTTCATGGAAATACGTGCTGGGTTGATATTTTTAATGATACTGTCATCTTCAGAAATAACACTAACCATAAAATCTGCCATGATAAACATAAACATATATTTTACTAACTGCAACAGAAAAAAACTCTAGTGCTAAATCTGAACATCAAGTTCTCCTCTAGAAATCTAAGAAATATCTTTGCTCCTAATAAGCCCTTCACTTATTTTTAGTCCACCATGCTATAAATTCTAGCATGCAAGACCAAAATGGCCAGATTATGTATACTCAGCAATTTAGACAAAGGTCAGTTGGCCAGGTGTGTTGGCACACACCTATAATCCCAGAGGCTGAGACAGGAGGGTGGCAAGTTCAAAGCCAGCTTCCTCAAAAAAGCGAGGTACACTAAGCAACTAAGTGAGACCTTGTCTCTACAGCAGTACAAAATAGGGCTGGAGATGTGGCTCAGTGGTTTGAGTACCCCTGAGTTCAACCCCCATACTCATCCCCCCAAAAAAGAATTAGGTCAGTTGGTCAAAACATATGCTTTATGTATTCCAAGAACAGAATGTTTACTTTATATGAATTTTAATGGTGTGTAATAGCTAAAGTTTTATTATATATAATAGTCTCATTATATTTACCATTTGTAATTTATTTGGCACCTATTAGAGTTTTTAATTATAAGAAACCGGCTTTATTTCCCCCAAAGAGATTTAACACAATCTATAAAGCTGTTATAAAAGGCAATGTATATAACATATGCAATTTATTAAAATTATTGTTAAAACATTTAAAATCTAAACTTTTTGGTATGTTTCTCTTTTAGTGCTTATAACTATGTTCAGGCATTTATCCCTTCAATAAGAGGAGTTTTCCAGAAAATTAGCTGTATAAAGCAATTACTAATTTCCTTTGGACTTAGCAAGAGCTACACTATGTTGAAAATTTCTGCTTACCCACTGTATTCATTGAATACTTTAATATTAATGACTGTAACTAGGAGCCCAACATAGTAAACATTTGTTGTTCTGAAATATCTTAAATCTTGATGTGATGCTATTTCCACCCAAATTAAGTTAAGTGGCTGGTTCTGGTTCTGATGGGTATAACTTCACAACATATTTAGTGAAACAGAGCTCCATAGTTCTCACCATTTACTTCTTATTTTTTTAATAGAATTTCATAACTCAGTGTACAAACATCAACTGAATTGCTTGTCTCTGGTTACCAGTTTATATATAAACCTTCAGAGCTCACTATTAAAGGACACCGGACAAAGAGATAAGAGTAGGCACAGCAAAAGTGGTAAGTATTTTGCCATTTAAAAGGCAATGACATGCATTATTTTTAATCATGCTGAGGACCAAACATAAATAATTTATCCCACTGATGTTATTACAAGGCAAATTATAGTTACAGTTTTATTTAAATACTGTCAAATACTCACCAGTGAAAACACCCCCTGCTAAAAAGCAAGCATCTTTGTCATATTTAACATTGAGACGAATGGGTTTCTCAGGGTCTGGAAGAATCATTAACTTAATTATAGGTCCTTCTATAGTACTCTTGTTATAGACAGCTTTAACCTGCATAATATGTTCTCCCCTAAAAACAAAAACAAAAAAAATTAAGGGGGCAGGGAAGGATAAAAATTCAAATTACATTAGTTATGACCTAAAAATCTGAAGACAATTTATGCAAAGTTTTAACTCTTTTAGGGAACCTGTTTCTACTCAGTTCCACCTCCTATCTTAACACTAAAAAAAGGATGGTTATTATTCTTTTAATTTTTATTGTTGGTTGTTCAAAACATTACATAGTTCTTGATATATCATATTTCACACTTTGATTCAAGTGGGTTATGAACTCCCATTTTTACCCCGTATACAGATTGCAGAATCACATCAGTTATACATCCATTGATTTACATATTGCCATACTAGTGTCTGTTGTATTCTGCTGCCTTTCCTATCCTCTACTATCCCCCCTCCCCTCCCCTCCCCTCTTCTCTCTCTACCCCCTCTACTGTCATTCATTTCTCCCCCTTGTATTATTTTTCCCTTTCCCCTCACTTCCTCTCGTATGTAATTTTGTATAACCCTGAGGGTCTCCTTCCATTTCCATGCAATTTCCCTTTTCTCTCCCTTTCCCTCCCACCTCTCATCCCCGTTTAATGTTAATCTCCTTCTCATGCTCTTCGTCCCTACTCTGTTCTTAGTTACTCTCCTTATATCAAAGAAGACATTTGGCATTTGTTTTTTAGGGATTGGCTAGCTTCACTTAGCATAATCTGCTCTAATGCCATCCATTTCCCTGCAAATTCTATGATTTTGTCATTTTTTAATGCAGAGTAATACTCCATTGTGTACAAATGCCACATTTTTTTTATCCATTCGTCTATTGAAGGGCATCTAGGTTGGTTCCACAGTCTTGCTATTGTGAATTGTGCTGCTATGAACATCGATGTAGCAGTGTCCCTGTAGCATGCTCTTTTTAGGTCTTTAGGGAATAGACTGAGAAGGGGAATAGCTGGGTCAAATGGTGGCTCCATTCCCAGCTTTCCAAGAAATCTCCATACTGCTTTCCAAATTGGCCGCACCAATTTGCAGTCCCACCAGCAATGTACAAGTGTACCCTTTTCCCCACATCCTCGCCAGCACTTATTGTTGTTTGACTTCATAATGGCTGCCAATCTTACTGGAGTGAGATAGTATCTTAGGGTGGTTTTGATTTGCATTTCTCTGACTGCTAGAGATGGTGAGCATTTTTTCATGTACTTGTTGATTGATTGTATGTCCTCCTCTGAGAAGTGTCTGTTCAGGTCCTTGGTCCATTTGTTGATTGGGTTATTTGTTATCTTATTGTTTAATTTTTTGAGTTCTTTGTATACTCTGGATATTAGGGCTCTATCTGAAGTGTGAGGAGTAAAGATTTGTTCCCAGGATGTAGGCTCCCTATTTACCTCTCTTATTGTTTCTTTTGCTGAGAAAAAACTTTTTAGTTTGAGTAAGTCCCATTTGTTGATTCTTGTTATTAACTCTTGTGCTATGGGTGTCCTATTAAGGAATTTGGAGCCTGACCCCACAGTATGTAGATCGTAGCCAACTTTTTCTTATATCAGACGCCGTGTCTCTGATTTGATATCAAGCTCCTTGATCCATTTTGAGTTAACTTTTGTGCATGGCGAGAGAAAGGGATTCAGTTTCATTTTGTTGCATATGGATTTCCAGTTTTCCCAGCACCATTTGTTGAAGATGCTATCCTTCCTCCATTGCATGCTTTTAGCCCCTTTATCAAATATAAGATAGTTGTAGTTTTGTGGATTGGTTTCTGTGTCCTCTATTCTGTACCATTGGTCCACCCGCCTGTTTTGGTACCAGTACCATGCTGTTTTTTGTTACTATTGCTCTGTAGTATAGTTTGAAGTCTGGTATTGCTATACTGCCTGATTCACACTTCCTACTTAGCATTGTTTTTGCTATTCTGGGTCTTTTATTTTTCCATATGAATTTCATAATTGCTTTCTCTATTTCTACAAGAAATGCCGTTGGGATTTTGATTGGCATTGCATTAAACCTATAGAGAACTTTTGGTAATATCGCCATTTTGATGATGTTAGTTCTGCCTATCCATGAACAGGGTATATTTTTCCATCTTCTAAGATCTTCTTCTATTTCTCTCTTTAGGGTTCTGTAGTTTTCATTGTATAAGTCTTTCACCTCTTTTGTTAGGTTGATTCCCAAGTATTTTATTTTTTTTGAAGATATTGTGAATGGAGTGGTTGTCCTCATTTCCATTTCAGAGGATTTGTCACTGATATACAGGAATGCCTTTGATTTATGCGTGTTGATTTTATATCCTGCCACTTTGCTGAATTCATTTATTAGCTCTAATAGTTTCTTTGTAGACCCTTTTGGGTCTGCTAGGTATAGAATCATGTCACCTGCAAATAGTGATAATTTAAGTTCTTCTTTTCCTATTTTTATGCCTTTAATTTCTTTCGTCTGTCTAATTGCTCTGGCCAGTGTTTTGAGAACTATGTTGAACAGAAGTGGTGAGAGAGGGCATCCCTGTCTTGTTCCAGATTTTAGAGGGAATGTCTTCAATTTTTCTCCATTCAGAATGATGCTAGCCTGAGGCTTAGCATAGATTGCTTTTACAATATTGAGGTATGTTCCTGTTAAGGATGGTTATTATTCTTAACCTCAGCAAGTAATAAGAAAAATCAAGATCGAAGATGGCAGATTAGAGTTACCCTTTATTTACTCACTTCTCCATGACACAGAATCAAAACCACTGGAGAGCTTCTGTTTATTGAGGTAGGTGACTGTGGATAGTAGTCAAGAAATGTGGAGAAACCCAGAGACTATGGATAGCTGAACAGAGGTAAGATAGAATACCCTTGAGCATGCTCCTTGGCAGCAAGTGGGGTAGAAGTAATGAGGTAGAGTTCAAGTGAGCAGCACTAGTACAGAATTTGGCACTGTGCAGACAACTCCATTTTGAACAAAGAGAAAACCCAGAATTGTCATAGCAATCTGGCTCTGGAAAAGTTCCCTGCACTTTGTAGCAGATACAGTGTTATAACAGGGAGCCATCTTGAGTAGGTCTTGTCTGAGTCTGCCTCTCTGCAAGTGTAAGGCCTCTATATTTTACTGTCTCCTTGGAGCCCACAGCAACATTACTGAAGAGCAACATTACCTCACTTACTCAGTGGGTATCTGCTTTGAAATTCAGTTTAGACTCAGAGCAAAGCCACTGAAATAACACCTGAGAACTCTACAGTGGTGGGAAACAGATCTGTGATGCTAAAGGGAAGTTTAAGGAAACCAAGATAATTTCCCATTTAAGACTAGCAGCTTGGAATGCCAAAAAAACCAGTGTAGTGTGATTGTGCATGGTAGTTGTCTCAGAACCCGAGTCATGGGTAGTGGATTGTGTGGGGCCCATCATTGGCCCCCTGCCCCAACCTGGACTAGTATAGGACCACAGCGTCTCTCTGCCCTCCAAGTGGGCTGAAAAAAGTGCCAGGGATCCTGACATGCTGCAGTATTTAAATCAGGCCTGTCCTTGAAGTGTACAGAGCGAATAGCTATGGAGCATATCATTGTTGGAGGAGTTCTGCAGTTCTCCCAAGTTTGTACAGATGCGCAGGGAAGCTGAGATGTATTTCAACTAGCTCCAGCCACAAACCAGTCCAGCTGGTCACCTAGAAAGCAACACAACCAAAAGAAGGGGATAAGACCCTTTCAGGCTTTGCTTTCTCCAAAGGGCTCATAGCCTAAGATGACAAGGAAAGAAGTTCTGAAAATCAGCAAAGATTGTGATTATCTACTCTTGCATGCACAATTGATCACTTTAGCAAAGAGAAAATCTTTATTTTTTAAGACTTTTTTGGTTATCACTGCATTGTGTGTATGTGTATTCTCTCTTCTCATTTTAATATTTTTTTCCTTTCATTTTTCTCGTTTAAAAAAATCATTTTTACTTTACAAATACTTCAATTTTTTATCCTTTTAAATTCTTCTTTCAAGGCTGTGGCTGTGGCTCAGTGGTAAAGCACTTGCCTAGCATATGTGAGGCACTGGGTTCAATCCTTAGCACCGCGTACGAAATAAAGGCATTCTGTCCATACACTACTACAAAAAAATTTAATAATTCTTCTTTCCTTTTCCACTTCTTAAAATTAATTTTACCTATTTTTTTAATTTTTAAGCTGTAATAGACACAATACCTTTAGTTATTTTTATGCAGTGCTGAAAATCAAACCCAGTGCCTCACACATACTAGGCAAGTGCTCTACCACTGAGCTACACCCCCAGGTCTAATTTTATCTTCATTATTATTTTAACTGTTGTTTATTCTATCTTATCTTTTCTACTTTCTTTTCTGTTGTTGGTGCTGTGGTTGTGGTTACTGAGTTTTTAAACTTTATTTCTTTATCCAGTTTGCTTTTATTTAGCTGATGTTATTGTAGTTTGCCTTCTTTTTTCTATGTCATGTTGGGGATAAAGCCTCATACTTCAAGCATGTTGGGTGGATGCTCTGCCACTGAGCTACCTTCCTAGCCCGAGTGAGAGATGTAGCACTTTACTCCACACATGACCCAGTCCTGTGGCAGGTACTTCAACTTAAAGAATAGGGGAGATAAAAATCTCCACCTGATGACCAAGCAAAAAGGAGGCAAAGCAAAGTGGGGACCTGAAGTACTGTTTCTATATATTCACCCTCTTAGGAAAAGCAGAGAGAAATAACACAAAGGTGTAGATATACCACTTGAGAACACTTTGGTCACTACCTCTAAATCTTCTGTGCAGTTGTAGTCACTCCCAGTTTCCCCACCAAAGCCTCCTCTCCCTGGCCATAGGCAACCACATTTTGTGTCTGTAGATTTGCCTATTCTAGACATTTCATTTAAAAAAATGGAATAAAAAAAGGTTGTGGACATGGCACCTATGAGGGACATTGGCATAGATTGCTTATATAACCTATCAGACCATATGCTGCCAACAAGACCAAAGGAATAACCACAGAGGTTGCATTGCATATATTCAGCTATCCATATCACTCCTGCCTATCAGAGGATGCCATTCTTGCAAGACCTA